TTCTATTTTCTGAATAAGCAGTTGGCACAAGGTCATAATGTTTGAACTAAGTTCCTATCAAGGTCACAGGTCAAAGGTACTTACATCTATATCCAACTTCCTCTGAATCCTAAAGGCCAAGTGCTGTGATACTTGACCAACAAAATGTTTAGATCAAAGGCTTCAACGAAAAAACCAAAAAGTCGTGGTATTTTGCTTTTAAGATGTTTTATTAAAAAGCTGCCAAGTCTGATTCGCTTTAAAAGTCATGTGTCAAATTTATTCCAATGCTTAAACTTAATTACCTTTTTCTCAGTAACTGAAAGACCGATATTTTGTTAACTTCAATTTAGAGTGACCGTCGAGTTTAAATACATTCTCTTATAGAACAGGTGAGCGATACTAGACCCATTGTTTATTATTCCGAAAATGAAATAGTTAATGTGATATTGAAGATGGCTTACCCTATGTCCACAATCACATTTTCATTGTTTTCTGAATTCTGCTTTGATATTGAACGTAACTCTGGTTACAGTTGCTAACGTCGCCCCGACTTGCTCTCCGACAACACTAAGCATAAATTTGAGTGAATCCACCACTACCGGTACGACGGTCGCCACTCTAACGTCAAGTTGTTCCGATACCGACACTGGAGCTGATGGCACTCTCTCATTTTCAATAACCAGTGGAAATGACTTTGGGGATTTCGGTTTGACCACTGCCGGAGTTCTCACCTTGGATGTCCCGTTGGATTACGATGGTATCACCAGATCCTTCGGAGTAAGTATTCGATGTGCATTGGGGAAAACTATTTCAAATATTTACCAAAATTAATCAGTATCTTGAGATAGTAATTTATCACAAACCATCTGCACCCTGTTAAACCCCCCAGGTGGTGTTTGCGTTGAATAGGGCCAGGGATTTTGATCACAAAGCGTTGAAAACGATATCACAGCGAGTCAAACTCGTAATTTTGTCTGGCATAACATCCAGTGTGTCTTAATTTTTTAACGTATTTTGTCACATGACTGATAAAACTGCACAACAAATTAGGAGATGATTCTGGACGCGTTAGGCTTCCATATTTTTTGTCGACCACGCGAATGTATAAAAGGAAGGAATGATAATCACCCTGCCCCGATGGGGTTCGAACTAGCGACTCTTCAGTCTCTAGCCAGACACTACCGCTCAACTAAAGGATAAAAATCCACTAGCTAAGGCTACTTAGGCGTCAAGTAATTTCAACTTGTACAAATGTACACCGTGTCTTCTCTCAGTTGTGACTAGTCTACAACTCACACAGTGAAAGTGTATGTACAAATAGATTAATTGTTCCCCGTAATTTTTTTTTAAACAATGCTAAGTGAAGCAAGGAGTTTCACTCCTTTTTAGGAGTAAAAACCCCGTGCTCAACATTGATTACGACAATAAGATGAGATCAATTTATAATGAACAATTGTCCTTCTGTTTAACACAAAACACATTATTTCGGAGATGTTTAAACATTTTGTTGAATGTTTATGCAATGTGTGGGATTGTCACAACTTAGAGAAAACACGAACAAAATATTTTAAAAAAATGATAACAAGCTTGCTGCTTATATGAATTAATTTTTCTTTTGTAAAATGACACAATTCATGTAACAGTGTTTATATAGCAGTAATGATAAAATATAGTTATTACCAGCAAAAGTTATCACTATTTTTTTTTCAAAACTTCCAAATACATGGTTTAGACTTATTTTTTCACACTAGTACTGTTGCGTTCATACTCAACTCCCTCTGGTAAAACAACAGTAGACTGATTCCCGACTGTCCGTTGTAACTTGAATGGTGTGGGGTTAAACTGAGCACTCAGCTTGTCTTTTCGCGCCTGTTTGACTAGTACTGATCTCCTTCAACCAGATCAGACTCTTTTGTGCCACGTTTGTCATCTTTTGCACACCAGTCTCTGTCTCGAACTACTTCATCCAAGGTATTGTCTCGCTCAATATCGAGTTGAGGCACCTTATTCCTCGAATTCCAACCAAACATAATCTCTGTCAGGGAAACACCAGTCACACTGTAAGGCGTATTCCTGTCAGCTAAGAGATAGGATTCCAATACCCTTTTCCCAGTCGCGAGTTTCAGTATGGGCGATACATATACTTTTCGTGATGAACCTGGTCTACCGTTCCACTTCTCCATTAGTAGGATGAAGCAGGGTGACACGTCCGTGCTGTATCCCATAACCACACAGAGATTCCTCAAACGCGACTGACATAAACTGTGGCCATTTTAATTGATACAGTGAGACCGAAGCGTACAATCATGCTCTCAAGTGCGTCAACCATTTTCTCACCAGACACATCTTTTGTAATGTCTATCTTATAATACTGACTGTAACAATCTATCACAACAAATACATAGTGACCTGAAGGTAAAGGACCCATAATGTACCTAAGTCCTGCCACAGTCCTGATGGCATTGGCTTGGGCGTCACCGGTTCAGGCCATGGAAACACACTTACATCCTGAAAACCATGACATCTTTGTCCAAAGCTGCTGCTTTGTAGCGACAATTCCCATGTGCCATTGGTGAGCTAATTTTTTACAGTCTGTTCGCAACGCCAATGTAATCACCTATCGCGTCCCACGTAACACCAAGTACCTCATTTGGGACAACTCTTCCCTCACTGCATAATTCTACACATCCTTTATCCCACTGACCTTCAACTAGTGACTTTCTAACCTGAATAAGCTCAGGATCAGAGTTTGATTTTCCCTCAACATACCGGGTTGACATCACCGTCGGCATGCTCCTCTTTGCGAGAGACCTAACCTATTGCTCTTTTTTAACTTGTACATCTGAAGTAATGACAGGTTTCGTTTTCACAACTTGTCGTGACAGCGCGCCAGTGATATCATTTTTTTCAGGCTAATATTTAATAATTAACGTGTAGATCGGCAGCCTAATGACCCTTCGTTCAATCCGTTCATCAGGTTGAGATTTTGGACAATACAATATCTCCAATGACTTGTGACTTTTTATCAGCTCAACATCAAATCCGTACAAAGAAATTTCCCACATGCCAAACCCATCGCCATTGCATCCTTTTCCGTCGTCTAATATCTTCCTTCAACATCAGAAATTGTCCGACTTGCATAACTGATAACTCTGGTATCATCTTCAAATTCCTGAATTAGCACAGCACCTAAACCTACATCACTTGCGTCAGTCACAAGCTGCGTCTTAGTTGCATCTATCCGCAAATGTCCCAATGTATCCGTGTTGGGCAGGCTTTCCGTCAAGGCCTGAAAACTGTCATCTTGCTCCTGACCCTGTACAAATTTGACATTTGTCTTAGTAAGTCGTCGCATTGGTTCATACACCGTAGCCAAATCTGCGATATATCTGGCACTGAAATTAACAACGCCGAGAAAACTCCCTACCGCTGATGCATTCTGTGGTTGCTAAGCATTCACAACGGCTTTAGCGCGATCAGATATTGGTGCGATTCAATTTTTCGACAGAAGAAGACCCATAAGCGTGATCCATTCCCCACTCATATTTCTCCTTATTTAGAGTCAAGTTCTTTTTTCTGGAATCTACACAATACTTTCTCAAGTCTCTGATCATGTTCACGTGGAACCCTACCATGAACCACAATATCGTCAGAAATATGTTGAACTCCTTCACAGCCATGAAGTGTTTGTGATAGTTCAGTTTATCTGGTGCCGAGCTGATGCCGAACATGCAGATCTCTCTGGATAAATCCTCCTATTCAATCTGTTGATAGTCATATCTCAAATCTGGCTTGCTAAACACGTACTCCATTCATATTATACAAAATCTCGTCCACAGTTGGTTTAGAATGTCTTTTACGGAATATAGTTTGATTCGCCTGTTTCACATCCACCCAAAGTCTTATATCGCTCGCCGTTATGCTTTTGAATAACTCAAACTGGAGTGACCAATGGCGTTGGGTCATCCACTCTCTCGATGATGGCCTGAGCCTTAAGTTCATCAAGTCTAGAACCAATCCTTTACCGTAATCTATAAGGAATCCTGTACATAGCTTGTGCTATCGGCTTTACAGATTGGTCAATATGAAGCTTTAGCTTGTAGTCGACAAGTTTCCCAATGCATTTAAAACATGGCCTGTACTTGTCAAACTTACACTATCAAGTTGACTCCCAATTTCAAAACTCCAAGCTCTACTGCTGTAGACTTCCCCAGTAAAACTGAACCTTTGTTATCCAGTACTTAGTAGTCTGCCTCAATTTCATCATCCGCACATGTTAAATTTCTTGTTTTTGACTGGACATCCTTTCGCAACATGATCCTCATGACCACATCGAAAGTACCAAGTTCTCATACTGCTGGTAGACCGTTTCACGTCCTTGTGTAATTGATTGACTGAATTGAGAGATGACTCCATTTTCTTTGCGTAAACACCATCCATTCCCATCGTAGCTTCTATAATACTGATCTAATGTCGATTCCTTACCTTTCTCCAGACACGTAGTTCTGATCTTTTGAAATTTGCATTTCTCTATTACTTGATAACGTATTTGTTCATCTATGTTATCAAACTCACAGAGAACCGCCTGCTTTCTGAATCTAGTTATGAACTGTTTGATTGACTCATCGCCCTGACCCATGGATAGGAACACATAACGTACCAAGGGAACATTCATCTTCGTTTGGAAATGCTTTTAAGCGTGTTTACCACCGTTGTGTATTCATCGTCTCCCTCTGCGTTTAACGCGAAGAAAATATCTTGTGCCTGTATACATGCGGTTCAGCAATAAAGCCCTCAATCGCGTCCTCTGCACCCTGATCGACGGCCAAATAAGCAAAAGTGCGAATCCCTCGCTTCCATTCTAATTTTTTTTTTTTCTACACAGAACAGATCTTTACACTTTAACAAACCATTGCGCATCATCCTTGTCGCCAAAATGTAGTGTCGAATCTAATCAGAGCCCCGAATTCAATTACAGTTCAAACAGTTACAATAACCACCGTATATTACATACCCGGATGACAACAATGAAAAATGATAGGGAAGTAGGTATAGTGTAGTAAAACTACTGAATACTACAGATAATGTAGTGGAAAAGAGTTCTACCGAAAGGAATCTGTAAAAGTAAGGACGGTTTCATTGGATATATGTGCACTATTTAAAAAATCGAGCATTTGTTATATAAAATCAATTGCAAAAGCATAAGCAATTTTTACACTGTCACAACTCACAGGTAAGGTAGCATACACCCTTAATATAAATCATATGATAAATGACATGTACGATTACATTTATCCTTCACATAAATCACTAGTTTACTTGGTAATGTTATGTTATTTGAACAGAAATTACATGATTAGAATGTAGGGAAATAATATGTATAGCATGTTGGGAAGCATCTGTCCTTCAACCAAGATAAGGTACCATATAGTCTTAACACAACGTAAGATACCATAAACCTATGACACAAATAAGGAACTGTATACCCTTAACACAAAGCAAGCTACCATATACCCTTAACACAAAAGTAAAGTAACATATACCCTTAACACAAATCCTATGGACAGCGATCATTATACAACCAACACAAATACACATACATAATAATGCATAGTAAATGAAAAGTAAGCATATACTTTTAACACAAATGTCCAGTAGAGTATATACCCTTAGATATGGATGGGTTATCACGAGACAGCGTCTAATTAACTTGTCATATTGTTATGAAAGATTGTTTTTGTTTGGTATAGTTGGTCATACTAGTAAGTGATGGAGGTACACCAGCAGAAAGTCTCAGCATCACCGTCAATATATTTGTTTTGAATGAAAACGACAACGACCCCGGATATTTTGGCGGTCCTTACACTGTGACAGTGGATGAAGACATTGCCAGGGGAGCTCTGGTGGCCCAGGCTAATCCGTTTGACTTCGACTTGTTGGAATCCTTTGATTTTCAGTCAACTTATTGTTCAATACTTGGTGAGTCTTTCTTTTCGATGTGAAGTATATGATTTTTTTATTATAGACTTCCTGAACATTTGGTAATGGTATGTAGCAGGATTAAGTTAACATCACGCCATATGTTTGGTTCTGTCAGTGAACTCCTTGCTTCCCGACTAAAGAGAGATAACACATTTTTAATGAAGTCTTGGTACTTGGCAATATGAATACTGGAAAGACAACAAATAACCCTCTAATGCTACAAATGTTGTCCTCAATTTTATATTTATCTGCTTTTATGACAATAAGCCCATGTCAGGTAAGAAGCCCATGTCAGGTAACAAGCTCATGTCAGGTGACAAGCTCATGTCAGGTGACAAGCCCATGTCAGGTGATAAGCCCATGTCAGGTAACGATCCCATGTCAGGTAATAATACCGTGCCAGGTAATAAGCCATCCAAGTTTATTGCTGTTCAGTAAAACAACTAACAAATGGATTTACATTGTGCTATAAATAAGCCCACACCTTGACTGACTTTGAGATGGAGTTTGTATGCTGGTACCATTGGCTTATAGCAAAATTATTGTTGTACATGAATGTTTGGATACTTTTTTTTCTACGGCGTGTTTATGAGTGTGTCAATTCATCACTGTGATACAATAAAATTCCTGTTTAATGTAGCTTTAGATATCTTATATGTCATATCATGAAGAATTTATTCACTGCATCATAAATCTGAAGCCAAATCTTACACAATGAGACTATTAATTATGTTTTGTGATACAATTAACAGCTGGAACAGATTCGAGCAAGTTCTCTATTGACATCACAGCAGGAACTATAACTCTATTTGAACCCTTGGACTTTGAGACAGTCACACAGCATGTCATTGGAATTGAAATTTACGACTTGGGTATTGCACCAGCAAGGACAGCCACTACTTCAGTCACTATCGATGTCAACAACGTCAACGACAATACTCCCGTAACTATTGGGTAGTTCTGTATTAAACAACAATGTATGTAAAGATACAGTGTTTATACTCCCGTAACTATTGGGTAGTTCTGTAACAAACAACAATGTATGTAAAGATACAGTGTTTATACTCCCGTAACTATTGGGTAGTTCTGTATTAAACAACAATGTATGTAAAGATACAGTGTTTATACTCCCGTAACTATTGGGTAGTTCTGTAACTATACTCCCGTAACTATTGGGTAGTTCTGTAACAAACAACAATGTATGTAAAGATACAGTGTTTATACTCCCGTAACTATTGGGTAGTTCTGTAACAAACAACAATGTATGTAAAGATACAGTGTTTATACTCCCGTAACTATTGGGTAGTTCTGTAACAAACAACAATGTATGTAAAGATACAGTGTTTATACTCCCGTAATTATTGGGTAGTTCTGTAACAAACAACAATGTATGTAAAGATACAGTGTTTATACTCCCGTAACTATTGGGTAGTTCTGTAACAAACAACAATGTATGTAAAGATACAGTGTTTATACTCCCGTAACTATTGGGTAGTTCTGTAACAAACAACAATGTATGTAAAGATACAGTGTTTATACTCCCGTAACTATTGGGTAGTTCTGTAACAAACAACAATGTATGTAAAGATACAGTGTTTATACTCCCGTAACTATTAGGTAGTTCTGTAACAAACAACAATGTATGTAAAGGTACAGTGTTTATACTCCCGTAACTATTGGGTAGTTCTGTAACAAACAACAATGTATGTAAAGATACAGTGTTTATACTCCCGTAACTATTGGGTAGTTCTGTAACAAACAACAATGTATGTAAAGATACAGTGGTTATACTCCCGTAACTATTGGGTAGTTCTGTAACAAACAACAATGTATGTAAAGATACAGTGTTTATACTCCCGTAACTATTGGGTAGTTCTGTAACAAACAACAATGTATGTAAAGATACAGTGTTTATACTCCCGTAACTATTGGGTAGTTCTGTAACAAACAACAATGTATGTAAAGATACAGTGTTTATACTCCCGTGACTATTGGGTAGTTCTGTAACAAACAACAATGTATGTAAAGATACAGTGTTTATACTCCCGTAACTATTGGGTAGTTCTGTAACAAACAACAATGTATGTAAAGATACAGTGTTTATACTCCCGTAACTATTGGGTAGTTCTGTAACAAACAACAATGTATGTAAAGATACAGTGTTTATACTCCCGTAACTATTGGGTAGTTCTGTAACAAACAACAATGTATGTATGTATGTAAAGATACAGTGTTTAAGTTCTGTAACAAACAACAATGTATGTATACAAACTGTAACAAACAACAGTGTTTATACTCCCGTAACTATTGGGTAGTTCTGTAACAAACAAATGTATGTAAAGATACAGTGTTTATACTCCCGTAACTATTGGGTAGTTCTGTAACAAACAACAATGTATGTAAAGATACAGTGTTTATACTCCCGTAACTATTGGGTAGTTCTGTAACAAACAACAATGTATGTAAAGATACAGTGTTTATACTCCAGTAACTATTGGGTAGTTCTGTAACAAACAACAATGTATGTAAAGATACAGTGTTTATACTCCCGTAACTATTGGGTAGTTCTGTATTAAACAACAATGTATGTAAAGATACAGTGTTTATACTCCCGTAACTATTGGGTAGTTCTGTAACAAACAACAATGTATGTAAAGATACAGTGTTTATACTCCCGTAACTATTGGGTAGTTCTGTATTAAACAACAATGTATGTAAAGATACAGTGGTTATACTCCCGTAACTATTGGGTAGTTCTGTATTAAACAACAATGTATGTAAAGATACAGTGGTTATACTCCCGTAACTATTGGGTAGTTCTGTAACAAACAACAATGTATGTAAAGATACAGTGTTTATACTCCCGTAACTATTGGGTAGTTCTGTAACAAACAACAATGTATGTAAAGATACAGTGTTTATACTCCCGTAACTATTGGGTAGTTCTGTATTAAACAACAATGTATGTAAAGATACAGTGGTTATACTCCCGTAACTATTGGGTAGTTCTGTAACAAACAACAATGTATGTAAAGATACCGTGGTTATGTTCTAAACTGTTTGAATTCCATGTACGTTTGTTTATTGTCTAAATGGCATAACCGTGATCCATAGAGAAACATTACTCCCAGTCAATACAGTATGATAACAAGGCCCATGACGTTGAAGTCAAATTGAGTGATTTGTATGGCTTTAATTAAGTTTTTTTTTTAAGATGCTGTTTGATGTTTTAAATGGTTATTACTTGTTCTGATTGTCAATATTCATTGCTGTTTTAAATAAGAGATATTCTGCCTTATAACCCTTACACTGTTCATGGAATGATTTCACCAAAATAAGCAAATAAACAAACAAAAATTCAAAATTGAACCTTTCTTAAATTGAGTAATCTTGTATTTGTGACAATGACCATCAACAAATATATAAAAACAAAAATATCTCATACACTTCTCAACATATTTATTCTGTGTTACACTATAGGATATCAAATTCTATACCTAATCAGTAATTGATGGTCAAGGTTTACTCGACCACTTTTGAAATAAAAAGCTTGTGTTGATGGGTTTCAACAGATTGATTTTGTATTTATATATATATATCTACAGGTGTGCACTAAGGTGCTGTTTACCGTAACAATAATAGAGACAACAACAGCAGGGACAACGCTTCAAAACCTCGGCTGTACAGACCTGGAGGACACAAACCTAGTATACGGGATCGCCACAGGTAAGCCTTAAAAGTGTGCTCTCACTTTTGTTTGAATGATGAAAATTGTATCAAAAACATTCTGCTATGTGTTTTAATGTCTTGAAAATACACGATCATTACTTGACATCAATTTCTAAAATAAAATTCATTTTCCAAGAAAACGTATTGCACTAATAGATTTTTAAGTCAAAACTTCTTGTTCATGAAAACTTGGTGAATTTACACCCACTCAGAGAATTCTGCATTACAGAAAGTATGACCTCATAAAATCAGTAAAATGGTTGGCAGTGCAGACATCCGTTCCTGGAAAGGAATTTTCCACAACTGTATTTGTGATATATAAATGAGAATTTTCAAGTTCAGTTGAAAAGCGATATGCTAATTCCAGTCATTTTTCTGTCCACTTGCCCAGAAATATGTATCTGTTCTGATTAATCAAGTGCACTCATCATGTTTACCTGTCCATACAAATTGCCAATTCATTTGTTGATTCATGGTTCTGTGGATGTAACGTTCTAATTATTGATACAGTTTACAAGAGATAATGTCCTAATTATTGAAATGGTTCACAGAACATACTCTCCTAATTATGACCCAGTTCACAAGAGACACTGTCCTAATTATTGAAAAAGTTCACGGGAAACAATGTCTTGATTATTGACACGGTTCACAAGAGGTACAGAGGTACTCTCCTAATCTTTGACATGGTTTTTAGGTGATACCACAAAGTTTGAGGTATTGAACAATGGCGATGTGAATTTGAAGACCACCATTGATGTTGATACTGAGGCAACAAGTTGGACGTTGGTTCTCACCTGTAGGGATCGAGATGCGGTCTTAAAGAGGACTGCTACCGCCACTGTCCAGGTGTTCGTCACAGGGACTGATGACAACATACCTGTATGGGCCACACCTGAATCAGGAACATACACAGCATGTAAGTAAAATATATATCTATATTCTAATCTCGAGTAAGAGTAATTGGGATGTTAACATATATAGTCATGTAAACCAATTTTACTTAAATACAATACTTTATATTGTTAAGCCCCTTTTTGTCTAGAAAAGAATATCCACTATGCAATATACTGTCAACAATCTCTATGGTTTATAACGATCATGGCAAGAGAAAATATACTTTCCAGATTCTCAAGAGCATCAAAATATATATTTCTATACATTTTGCCTTTTTCAAGCAAATCAAATTCAAAACCGTTGATGTAGTAGGCATATCGTTGAAAGTCATTGATGGATTTGGCAAATTCAGTAGTAAGAGTAATAATATGCTTATTTTTCACACAAATCTTTCTTTAATTTCAGCTGCAGATGAAAACGTCGCTACGGGAACTGCAGTGACAACCATTTCTGCTACGGATGCTGACCAGACTGGTACCGCAGATTCTACAATAACTTACAGTATAGAGACTGTGACTACTGACTTTGGTATAGATCCGAGCTCAGGTAAAGATAATGTTGACATATTGGATGTTCCTCAAATATTTATTATTTCTGAAACCATACAGACTGATATTTTTTTAAAGATAACGTCCTGAGCAATTGTAATTCATTATATTATAAAAAGAAACAATGAAAAATGCCACGGGTTTCACGTTTTCATGTCCCTACTATGAAGATAGAATAGAGGGTGGGGGACTGGGATGGGGGATTTAGTGTTGCACGCAGTCCTATCCCATATTGATGTTTTGGACCCAGCAACAGTAAATTTGATCAATCGGTTCAAAGTCATAGTTACTATTTATAGAAAATCAAACACCAAGGTAATTGTCATTGTTACCATTTTTTGAAAATCAAGCACCAATTTACAAGTCATTCTCAAGATCATAGTTACTATTTATAGAAAATCAGGCACCAATTAAAATGTCATTGTCAAGGTCATCGTTACTATTTATAGAAAATCAAACACCAAGGTAATTGCCATTTTCTAGGTCATAGTTACTATTTATAGAAAATCAAGCACCAAGTTAATTGTCATTGTTACCATTTTTTGAAAATCAAGCACCAATTTACAAGTCATTCTCAAGATCATAGTTACTATTTATAGAAAATCAGGCACCAATTAAAATGTCATTGTCAAGGTCATCGTTACTATTTATAGAAAATCAAGCACCAATTAAATTGCCATTTTCTAGGTCATAGTTACTATTTATAGAAAATCAAGCACCAAGTTAATTGTCTTTCTCAAGGTCATAATTACTATTTATAGAAAATCAAGCACCAAGGCAATTATTATTTTGAAGGTCTTAGTTACTATTTACAGAAAATCAGGCACCCAGGTAATTGTCATTGTCAAGATCAAAGTTACTATTCATAGAAAATCAAGCACCAAGGTAATTGTCATTGTCAATGTCATAGTTACTATTTATAGAAAAGCAAGCACCAAGTTAATTGACATTCTCAAGGTCATAGTTACTATTCATAGAAAATCAAGCACCAAGGCAATTGTCATTGTTAAGGTCATAGCTAATATTTATAGAAAATCAAGCACCAAGGTAATTGTTATTTTGAAGGTCTTAGTTACTATTTATAGAAAATCAAGCACCTAGGTAATTTTCGTTGTCAAGGTCATAGTTACTATTTATGGAAAATCAATTATCAAGGTTATTGTCATTTTCAAGGTCATAGTTACTATTTATAAAAAAAATCCAGTACCAATTTAAGTAGCATTCTTGTTCTTCATTATTCTTCTGAACGTTTGGTACAGGGGCAGTATCCGTCATTCGGGCCCTTGACCGTGAGACTACAGAGACTTACACGTTGACTATATCAGCTTACTCCTCCACACAGACCGGTAGTAAGATCACAGGCACACTAACCATCACAGTCAATGACCTAAACGACAACAGCCCTGTATTTACACAGGTATATCTGGTGGTGACAACTTCAGTAGTTAGACATTTTCATTCATACTCTTTTTGAAATATTTTGATAATGCAATGGCGTCTTTATTAAATTCCAATTAAAATAAGAAAGGTAATTCTATACAAAAAAAGCCATGGATGCCAGAAAATATACTTTATGTATTTGATGAGAAAAAAAAATCATATTTTGTGTCAGACTGTTGTTTTTCCAAAAGCATTCTTCTGGTATCTTAACATTGAAGTATTGGTGTGAAAACTATGATGAGAACGCTTTCCTGATATAAATTATTTCGAAATTTATTTTGTGTTAGTTTTGTAACGCAATAACCTACATTCACATGACTAGGTTGTTATGATTGATTGGACAGGCTATCTTCACCCCTGCCACGTCTATAGCAGAAAACACAGCACTTAATTCTGCCATCTTGACGGTAGCTGCTACAGATGCTGACAAACTGACCAACGGTCAAGTCAGTTACTCTATCAACAGTAAGTCGGACGTAGTGTGCCTTATAGTCTTAGAACAAGTATGAATTACCATAAATATCCATTCCTGGATTTTTAGCACACCATCATCAGATGGTGAACTATTCAAATCGCCCTACGTCTGTAGTCCGTCCGTCCGTAACCAATTTTTGTTATCGTTATTTTTTGAGAAGTACTAGATGGATCTTTCTCAGATTTATATGTAGGTTTCCCTTGGTCTCAAGTTGTTCCCGTCTAATCATGGGACATGAAAATGAAAATGGCCGACAGGCGGCGAACTTTTATTTTGATTTTGAAGGTTTGTTATCACTATTTCTTTAGAAATGTTGCAATGATCTTTCTCAAATTTCATGTATAGGCTCCTCTTGGTCCCTAGTTGTGCCTATTTGAGTTTGGGAAAAACAAAATGACCGACAGGCAGAGATCTTCTCCCAGTAAGATTATTATTTCTTTTGTTTCTTAAGAGGGTTCTGAACGGATCTCTCATAAATTCCAAACGTATGTTCCCGTTCGATTTTGAGACTGAACAGAAGAAATAAAATGACTTCCAGACGACCATTTTCGGATTTGGTATGTGCAGATTAGCATCGCTATTTTTGCAAAGGAATGTTGAAATTTCTCATCATTAAGAGCAAAAACAGAGAAGACAAAAGAAGGGAGAAATCCAACTTTCAAAGAACAAATAAAGATCAGACAATGGTGCGCGCCAAGATCCTTATGGAATATATAGTTAATAGTTATAAGTTATTAAATTTTGAATTTGGAAACATGTTCTTATGTAATATTTTATGAAGCATTGAATACTACCCCAATACCTGTGATTGAGTATAAGATTACATTTATTTTATTATTTTGATTTTTGTTTTTAAATATGACATTTTTTTTCATTTTGCTGCCATTTACTTTCCTTTTAATTGATATATAGTTTGAAGTGATATTTATCGAACACATTTTGTCCTGAAAGTACTGTGCTAAATTATATTTGTGTTAATTTCAGTTTCCAGATTTTTTATGATACATTATCGTGGGGATAATCTGTACATCCTTGATCCCATTGTATTCTAATCTCATACAGGTGGAAACACGGCGACTGGATGTGTAATGGCTATTGACTCTAACTCTGGCGTTATCACCAACACCGCTAATCTCGACTACGAGAGTGCCACTTCATGTACCCTGATCATCCATGCCACAGACAGCGGTGCTACACCACTGGTATCCACAGCAACTGCAATCATCACTATTTCACCTGTTAATGAGGCAACACCTGATTTCGGAGGAGATTTTACAACATCAATTTCTGAAACTCTCACTATTGGTACGATTATATATGTGCATGGCTACTTCCGATACGTGTCCTACTCTGGGATGAGACACATGTCATATCTGAATTAAGTTCTGTATAGGAGGTGGGCCTAATATTGGACATCACAATAATATTTTGTTGGTTATTCTAATGAACATAAGTTTTGTTGGGTTATTTACCAGACATGAACATTGGCAAATAACGATAATACATAGTCCTAAATAACACTTTATATAACTGATCCAAGGTGGTCATCATCCATTTCTTCTGATTGGAGGAGATGTTGCTGTTGTACCATAATCCAAGATGACCAGCCAATCGTGTTAACACTCCAGTTCTTATTATCTATAAGGTACAGTCGACGCCATCACTATCCCATCTCCCACTCTCTACATTTACTCATTGCTTTACACATTGCTGTTAATGAAAGACACACAGAGACCTTAACAGGGTATAAATCCCATTTACAACATGAATTATCAGTGATAATATGGTGTATCCCTACTTAATGGTAATTGTTACCTGTTGGATTATATATTAAGGTTTATATACAACGTGTTATTACCCTTGTTCTTAAATCCAAGGTGATGGATTTGATAATATTGTTGGTATGTTGAAGCCTTGATGACCATTTTTAATTATGAAACAATACCTATGTCTATGAAATAATAATCCCATTCCTGGTAATAAGCATGTTCAATACAAAACCAAACACTGTTTAATTGTCCAGTCATAAGCCAATCTTCTTACTTTGATTCAAAATGTCTGTTTCAAGTTCTACCTATATCTGACTAGTGATAGGTGTTTTAAATTTTTTTGTTGTAATTTGCGAAGACAGACAACATCATATTTTGTTATTATAAATATGGAACCCATGTTGAATTTCTTCTTTAACATATTCTCCTTTTTTATACCAGGTACATTTGTCACTGCAGCGGTTGCTACAGATGCTGACACTGGTAATGATGGCATTATTCAATATTCCCTCAACACGTTTGGAACAGTTTTTAACATAGATGCCAATAATGGGAACATCTACCTTGCAGCTGATGTTGACAGGGAGACAACTCCATCCTATATTGTGGTAGTCCATGGAATAGACCAATCAACCGCTACCAAAAATACAGGAAGTGTTTCCATCACCATCAACATTGATGATGTTAATGATAATACACCATCTTGTACTACTACAGTGTTTAAAGAACTGACATCTGTTGCTGTCAATGACATTGTGCACACGCTGGCCTGTACTGATGCAGACACTGGAGTTAACGCAGCCTTGGTCTATTCTATTGCCAGTGGTAACACTAATGCCGATTTTGCCATCAGTACAGCAGGTGTAGTGACTGTGGCAAACCTACCAAGTCGGACAGATTATCAATTGCAGATACTTGTTTCGGATAGTGGCGCTACAGCCTTATCAACTACTGTGTACATTATTATCAAAGTCTATGTTGTCCCGACCTTCACAGTCTTACCGACGACAGAAAATGTTATTGAATCTACTGCTATTGGAACGCAAATACACACAATGTTGGTTACCGTGGCATCTGGTTTAAAATCCTTCCAAATCACAAGTGGAAATGCAGATGGTAAATTCAGTTTAAATGCGGTTTCTGGTAAGCTCTTCTTGAACGGTAACTTGGACAGGGAGACAACTGCAAGTTACAGTTTGGTGATCCGAGTGACGGATACAGTTAGTACACTAACCGCTGATGCTACTTTGACCATTACAGTAACAGATTTCAACGACATCACGCCTAGCTTTGCCAATTCTTTCTACACTACGGCAGTCGTTGAGAGCGTGGGTGTAGGAACGCCTGTACAAAACCTTGCTGCGACAGATACAGACTTAGGAGTTAATGCAGACTTGACGTATGCGATTGTAAGTGGCAACGCAGACGGGAACTTTGGCATCAGTACTGCGGGACTATTGTCTACAGCAGGTACCTTGAATGCCGAGACCACACAGTCGTATACTCTAGTAGTCACGGCCACTGACAACGGTGCTGTTAAAATAACTGGTACAACAACAGTGTATGTATCCATTAGCAATGTTGATGAATTCCCAATAGATTTTGGTGTGGTAGGGAATATCTATACTTCAACTCTCTCCGAAGACACAGCCACAGGCACCACATTCTTTACCGTGACTGCACAAGACCAAGATGTGGACACCGTTATGTCATACTCTATTACAGGTGGCAATGCTGAGGGAAATTTTGAGATAGACTCTACAACAGGTGAAGTGATCTTGTCAAAGTTTTTGGACAGAGAGACAACTGCCAGTTATTCTCTAACAGTCACAGCTGACAACGGAGCAGGGACGACCTTAGACGCCACCCTTGACATTACAGTTTCCGATGTCAATGACAATGACCCAGATTTTAGTCCTACATCTGTATACGCATTTAATGTAGATGAGAATCAAGCAGCGGGTATCACAGTCGGAACAGTGACATCAGCTGATATCGACAGTGGACTTAATGCTAATAGAATTCTGTCAATTACAGGTGGAAACACAGCCACTGCTTTTCAGCTAATTGGTTCCGACATAAAGCTTATAGGGGCCCTGGACTTCGAAACAACACCAAGTTATATCCTTCTTATTGAAGCTCTTGATCAGGGAATACCTGCCAGGTCATCAACCGCAATTGTGAACATTGCTGTCAACCCTATTTATGCACAACCGCAGAGTGCATTGACAATTGATAGTGTGAGCATAGCAGAGAATATTGCGCTTAACACACTTATCTATGATATGGATGCAACAGTACAGGGAGCAGTAGAGGGCACCACTGGAGATCTCAAGTATGTCATACAATCAGGAAATGCTGAGGGCAAGTTTTTCGTTTCACTAGACACAGGGGAGTTAACTGTGGTTGGTGCACTTGACAGGGAGACAACTGCAAGCTACATTATTGTTATTCGAGGAGAGAACAGAAACGATGCAACAAAGAGAGATACTATATCTCTGACAATTACAGTGACTGATATTAACGACAATGATCCCATATTTGGCTCTGCACCATACACATGGTCTATAGATGAAGGTCTTGCTGTGAATTCTTCACCGGGCACAGTCACTGCTGCGGACACTGATTCAGGTGCTAATTCAGCAATCAGTTTTGCTATCATTTCAGGGGAAGGTAATTCTGATTTTACAATTGATAGCACAACTGGGGTTGTTTCCACCACTGTGATACTGAATGCGGCAACACAGTCAAGTTACCTACTGACTGTCACTGCAGTTGACGGTGGAACACTCCCACGCACAGGATCTAGCACTGTCGTTATCACAGTTAATGATATCAATGACCAGACACCTACCTTTAGTCAAACTACATACAACTTTGATATCAGCGAAAGTGTCAGTGTTTCTGAAACTGTCTACACTTTTTATGCTGCAGATAGTGACACAGGTGCTAATGGTAGGGTGAACTATAATATTATATCTGGAAATGCTGCGTTAAAGTTTTCTCTCGGATCAACAGATGGTCAGCTGGTGATGGCTAATACGTTGGATAGAGAATCGCTGACTTCGTACGTCCTGGTTGTGGTGGCAACAGACAGTGGTACAACTCCAAATACAGGGACAACAACCCTCTCTGTGACAGTGCTAGATGACAATGATAACACACCAGTTTTTGCCACTAATCCTTATACCGCTACTGTATTGCGAACAGCTTCCACATCCAGTACAGTGGAAACTGTTGTCGCTACTGATGCTGATGCAGGGACCAATAGCGATCTTAGGTACTCCATAGTGAGTGGAAATCCCGATAACCTATTCCATGTGGATTCCACATCCGGCGTGGTAGTCACATTAGGACTGCTTACTGCTGCCGCTGATAGCCATGCCCTAGTGATCCAGGCCGAGGATCAAGGTGTGATATACCGCTCGGCCACCACCACCCTCAGTATCACGGTTGACCCAGTCAATACCCCTCCTTTGAGTGACCTGACCTTCACTGTGTCTGAAAGTGTTGCCACAAATTCTCTTATTGGCACAGTTACAACTAACCCTGTTCATGCTGCAGGTGCTACCGTAGATTTCTTAATTGTCAGTGGAAACCAGGCTGGTAAGTTTCAAATAGGTGGCACAGATGGACAAATTACGAACGCTAATAGTCTGGATTATGAAACGACAACAGATTTCTATCTTCTGGTTAATTTGAAAGACAGAGGAAATCCAACACTTGACTATGACAAAAACATTCATATAATCGTGACAGACTATAATGATTTGACTCCAGTACTTAACCCCACCTCTTACACCCAATCGTTGGTGGAAAATTCTCCTGTAGGAGTTACCGTCCTCCAAGTCACAGCGACAGATGGAGATTCTGGAACAAATGCACAAATGTCATTTGAGCTCTTTTCAGCAGTTCCCTTAGCAACCACTTATTTACAGATCGATAACAATGGTGTCATCACGGTCAAACAGGAAGTAGATTATGAAACTGTGACTGTGATAGTTTTCCAAGTATTGGTTAAAGATGGCGGAACCCCTACTAACACTGCTACTGCAGCAGTAACAGTAAATATTGTTGACGTTTTGGACACTGCAACAGTAACTGGGTCAGCCTCACATTTTTTCTCTCTGGAGTGTGCGACCGAGGCTTTAAACTCTGAGGTGCTTAAAACTTTTACTGGAACAGATTTTGGTCTGACAGTTGGAGCTACAGATACTTTAAGTTTCCTCACCCTAAGCAGTGGTGGTGTGTTTAGTGTTGGGTCCAGTTCTGGTGACTTTGCAATACAGGATCAGACCTACTTGTTTCAAGATTCTCGATACTTCATGGATGTCGTCGCCAAAGTGACCACCACGGCCAATGTGGTCACAGCATCTTCTGGTCTGATACGTGTTGATTCCTATGTTGCCAGTAATTGTGTAGTGGTTTTGACTCACAGTGTTGATGTGACCACTGTCGCTGGTCAAACGTAAGTAATAGCAATTACATAAGTAATAAATATTCTTAACGCTTTGCACAACAAAATGAAATTAATAACCACTTCTTGGCAAATTAGTGCAAAGATAAATTTGTGCAACGATAGATTAGCGCAAAGATAGATTAGCTACAGAAACCGCAATTAGTACAATACATTTGGCATAAACACTAAAATATGTACATTAATAGTATTCTCTTTGATTTTTATTTCAATAGATAGTTTGCAAATAATTGCTTACACACAACAGTATTTTTCACTTTCGAAAATGAAAATATTTTGTTTATAAATATGAAATGTTTGTACCTTTTCTTTTAAAAGCAATGCCTTGCGTGCATCCCTTCAGACACTATTTCCTGGTAAACGTGTGGAGATCTGGAAACATCAAGGCACATCCACCAGTGCAAGGCGTCGCCTTTTGGCCACAGGGTATGTTTGTGACTTGTTTTTTTTAAAGAAGTGCTGTCAATGAAATGCTTCATGACAGAAGCAATTTTAACCTGCAATACGCATATGCTTGATGCTATGCCCATCTGTATGAATTGCTATTTCATGCTATTTCATTGACTGTCAATAAGCCCAACCCTTGACTTTTAATTAAAATGTGTATGTTGGGCAATTGGGCTTATTGCAAGAATGATATGATAAAAGTGTAACTCTCAGGCCTTGGGAATAAATGTATGTAAAATGTATGAAGACCAACCTGAATTTCTTCCTTTTCATTAAAAAATCATGGTACCTTCAAACATTTTGTCAATGGAAACACTATTCAATTCAAGAAAGAATCTGTTTGTTGTATGAAATATTGATATTTCATTTCCTATTAAATTGGGATTCTGTTTTAACCTGAATTGGTTAAGCAAAGCTCTTTTGTCTTTACAGTGAAATGATTCCCAAGTTACTTATTAGGCTGTTGAAGTGTTTAAATTTTGAACAGTAATGGGGCAGCGTTGAATGTATAACGATATACATAGCTCAGCTATATCTCCATACTGATGTGGTTCCACTAGTCAGTGAAACCACATTATCATGACTTAACAAGGTTTGCTGTGCATACAAACAAAACTGTTCAGGTAAACAAGGTTCTATTGTAAACCAAACGGAAATATCCAGGCTAACAAGATTCTACTGTACACACAAACAAAAGTGCCCTGACTAACAAGGGTAGACACACACAAAAATGGTCAGACTTTCAAAGTTCTACTGTACACACAAAAGAAGACCAGACTATAATTGTTCTACTGTACAGCATATGATAGTGACCAGGCTAACTAGGCTCTATCGTACACAGGAAAAAATGCCAGACTAACAAGGTTCTACTGTTCACCAAACAAAAGTGTCCATACTAGTAAGGTTTTATTGTTCATTATACCAAAGATGCCCAGACTAACAAGATTCCACTGCACACACATGCAAGAGCCTAGACTAACAAAGTTCTACTTTACACACAAAAAGTCCAGAATTCTATGGTTCTACTGTACACCATACAAAAGTGTCGAGACTACCAAAGTTCTACTATACACAAAAACCAAAACATCCAGACTTACAAAATTCTATTGTATACACAAACCAAAGTTTCCAGACTATTAAGGTTCCACTATTCACGCAAACCAAACCATATCAAGGTCCTATTTTAGATATATGAGGAATTAATGCCACATTTTTTTAAATCAACACAGATCGGAGAGTTTGATTTACGTGGTATCGGATACTTCAGCTGACACATTGGACGGCCTTCAGTCGACAAAATCTTTCCAGACACAGGAAGAAATATTAGCAGTCTTACAGCAGGCAGATGGTTCCCCCGTTACTGCTCTATCAAGCGCGACTTTTGCCACCTTCCCTGTGACAGGCGTGAGCAGTTACACCTCCAGTAGTTCAACCACAACTAATTGGGCCCAGACGACAGTTGGCATTGCCGTCCTGTCAACCATCGGCTGCAGTATTGTTCTCTTGGCTGCCATTTTAGCTGCATATTTCTTCTGTACTCGATCACGCAGATACAGGTAAAATTAAATAGTCGCAATTTGAAAAGTACTGTTGGAGCTTAGAAGCAGAAGGTTTGTATCAAAAAGCAATTCAAGATATCATGGAATCCATTCTTTTTGATGGCCATGATTTTCATGAATATATTTCCTGACATAAAAGCCATTGTTTTCATGATGACACAATACAAAATATTACCATCATTGACAATTTGCTCAATGATTTTCTTTTAGAATTAATGAAAACCAAAAGCCAAATAGTATAGTGCCCAATAAAAATTGCTGTAAAAGATATGATTGCTTTTGATAATTTGATAGCTGTGAAAGGTTATGTTATTTTCACAATTCTGTAATGGTATAAGACAGCAATTGTGCATGTTGACAATATTGTGACCTCGACTATAAGGTTCACTTTGAGCGCCGATATATTAATCAAGCAATACTTCAAATAGAGCATGCTGTGATAAATCGGTCTGTATACAATTTATTTTTAGATTCAATGAAGAAGACAAAGAACAAGATAAGAGTAAGTAAAAGGAAGAGTGAGATGTTTTAATTGATTATCAGGTGTAATAAGTTCTCAGTAGCACAAGTAGGAGTGGGAGGTTTTAACTGATTATCAAGTGAAATATGTTCTCAGTAACACCAGGAGGGGGATGTTTTAATTGATTATTAGTTGTAATAAGTTCAGATTAACACAAGTAGGAGTGGGATGTTTTAATTGGTTATCAAGTGTAATAAGTTCTCAGTAACACAAGGAGTGGGATGTTTTAATTATCAGGTGTAGTAAGTTCTCAGTAACACAAGTAGGAGTGGGATGTTTTAATTGATTATCAAGTGTAATAAGTTCTCAGTAACACAAGTAGGAGTGGGATGTTTTAACCGATTATCAGTTGTATTACGATTATCAGTTGTAATACGTTCCGAGTAACACAAGGAGGAGTGAAACACATTGGTCAGCTTAGAAAGAATTTAGACAGAACGGATAATGGTTTTCATGTCTATTGCAGCATTACATTGGATATAGCAATACAAAAGGATAAAATCATACTGGAAGTTAGAATACTTAAGGGTCACATGTGAACATAAGTGTAAGAATTGTTTAAGATCAGGTTAGGCAGGATGTTAGAATACCAAGGTACATATTATGCAGAATACGGATACTAAGGATCAGATAAGACAGGTGTCCGAATATTAAAGGTCCAATTAGATAGGTGTCAGAATACCCAGGGGTCAGATTAGACACGTTACAGATTGTGGACACTGGTTAAATACTCCAAAAACTGATTTTCTAATGTTCTAAATTTATTTTCTGTTTCTTTGTAACAATATCCTTACAGTCTATCATTATTTTGTTTTATTACAGTTAATGATCTTGATTTGATCCTTTTACACGAAATCATAAAAATCGGATAGAAAATCCTCATATAACCAGTAATGATATATCTACATTTGTGTTTTTCAGGTTTCACCAACACACAACCAGTGGTAATGTATATACATTTGTTTTGTTAATGGTGAATGTTACAATACTATGACACATTTACAAAAGAATTTCGTAAAAGCTTTAAATATGTCAATAAAATTATGACACTTTGAGAAAGTTGAGCTCAGAAAGCATGTACAAAGTCTGTATTTCACAGATATGTAGTGTAAGGAAGACCATTTTCTGAAATAGGTAACTCTGATAAATCAGTATACAGAAAAAGGGTATCTTACATGAGAAGCTATTCATTAAACATGTTCCATGATTTAAATAGGATTGCAATAGGTCAGTCACTGGAATGTTGTCCTACTTAACTTAAAATGAAGAGTCGAGGTGTGTGGTTCCCTGCCCTCTCAGGGCCCTGAGAAAGGGATCTGTCTGTGCTGATTTTGTTGTGTTCTTTTGCAAGAAACTTTACCCTTGTTCAGTAAGGTAGCCTCCATCTACTACAAAGATATCTGGTTTGAAATGACCTTGGCCATTCACCAGGAGAAAAAGACAGAAAACAAACAAACATATTATAATTTTATGTAACCTTGAACTTTAATTGTCATACCAAAATTTCAGATGAGTTTAATCACAAAACATGAACACAAGATCCTGTTTATGACACAACATAGATGCATATGAAAATAACCAGAATTCCAATCTATTTTCTTAACAAACATGAATATTTGACCCTCAAGACTTTTCATGTAACTTCAGTTATTCATGTTGTTACAACAGCTTTACTACACATTTGACCAAACAGACTAGGAAATACATGCTTGTCATTTGGAAATAGTGCTGTTTTTTCATCTCAGTGTTATTTAAACCTGATTTAATGGCAGACCTATGTAGTATGATCAGATATTGAAAAATTAGCTGTGACAATTGGTTTTAGGAAGAAATCTTTTTAAGCTATGAAAATTACAAAATTACATGTATTTAGCCTACTTCAGTTGCATAACCATTTGTATTTGGATTCATTAGTTACTGAAAGTGTTTTCTCTTAAAAATATTATATCAAAAGTTAAAAGATACAAATTTAAAATTCTAAAAACTAATTTTACATACATTTTTATGGTGTTAATAGAATAAAAGTGACCGTCACCCTTTGGTACCCCAGTACAATGAGACAGACAATGTGTTTGGGAAACGACCAATAACAGGCAAGACAGGTGAGTACCAAGTCTGTACCCTACTTAACTGGTAATAAGCTTGCCTTTTCTATTTCTGTTCCTTGAAATAATCTACAGATAAGTCCTGTAATATGGAACAAGTCAGTCTGTCACCCAAATAGTGGAGCATGCTTCTTCGACTCAGATGATAGAGTCATGGGTTATTATGCCAGGGACCTATGTACGTTCAATTTCTGTCAGGGTAATCAGCAGGAATATTTTTTCCCATTCTTTTACAGAGGAGAATGCAACCATTCCATTTTCTTTTCAATTTCATTTTTAATTTCCACTGAGCACTCCTAACCTGCTGTACATGGTTCAAGTTTCTAAACTATCATTACATGATGGAATACAGAAAGTGAGAGATCAAGGTTTGTGGTTGTTCAGATGAGCTTTTTATCATGGTCAACGACCTCTTCGATATCACTCGTCTATCTTTTAATCATTACTTTCTGTTACTATTCTGCCTTAGTGGATGATCGCTTAGGAACAGGACCAGCATTTATGAATTGACCATTGTCAATAGATGGAATCCAAGGCTGTCGATATGGCATTTAAGGCAGCCATATTGAATATTTGTAATGAGAACTGTAAGAAATATCTATCATCGCTACCCTTGACTCATGTAACATTAAAATGTCAGCAAAGGGAGTCAAAACATAATATCGATACTTCTCTATACAGAGAAAATTGTCTTCAGACACAACTCCACTTGTGGAGTTAGGGTCAGAGATGGTGCTTAAGAACATATGAAAGCATAGTCATACTTCAAGGTGACCAATATAGATGCCATCTGGAAAAAACGTATTTCTACCTTAAATAATTATCACAGCAACGACAAATATTTCGATGATAGATTTTTTTTCTATATATGTATATTTTCTGTTATGTAGTGGAAGTGGAATCGCCCCCACCACAGTCCCATAAGCTGAATGGTGTGTCAAATAGTTACCATCCGTCCAATCAGAAGCCAGTGAAAAAGTCCAAACAGGACGTCAGCGTATCTATGATGAATGGGAAGTCATATGATGATGGTATGAAATGAATGCATAGCTGTCACTCATATTAAATTCACAGTTAAAGTCTAGTTCCTCACATTTCACTCTAAGTTCGATAGATATACATTTAAAACATGATAATCAGTATCACATGAATGTTTTAGTAATATCTATAGATGAATTGAGATGAATAGCTACTTCTGAACCATGATTATAAAGTCATATACAGTGTATATTGCTTGTTTTGACATACCACTTGAATTTAAAGGTCATATATGTGTTTAAAAAATCAGCAATTTCTGCAATAATTTTTAAAAGATATGAAGATATTTTATAATGGTTATATTTATCAAAGTTGATATTTTTCACTATTTTTGGGGATTAAATAATATTGTGAATAAATACCTTAAAATATATACCATGTGTGGGAAAATGAAAGTTAAATTCTAGACTTTTTTGAAAAAGAAATCCTTTAAGAAATGTTCATAGACTGTAAAGCTTTTAACAACAATATAAGAAAAAGGAAACTTTATAATAAGGTTAAGTACTGAAAATCAAATTAGCTGTTTATAAATCGGTTTTCTTACCCAATTGATAATAAAAGCATATTCTATAACTGTCACCTTTAAAAAAGTTGTCAAATGCAATTGAGATATGTTATATATTTTTTCTGCTTTTTAATTTTTATGATATTTTTTCAGTCACACCTGAACATTGTGCACCTACCACCTCCCCTGCACTCAGTGACCTTGTCCTCACCTCATTAGATGAACTAGATAAAGACATTGTTCTCACAAAACCTCGAATGCACACCCCTGCCACCATGGATACTGACATTGCATTGTGTGACCCTTCCTCCCCCGAACAACCCTGGACTGTTAGCTCGACAGTCAGTCTTAATACTAATTACCATGACAACATTGACAGTAGTTCTCTTAGTGGCAGTAGCAACCATGATTTTAGTCACCATGGTCACAAAAATGAAAGAAACCATTTTTACTATGGAAATGAAAATAGACTAAGTAGATATTTTTGTACAAAGGATCAAGGATCTGGGAGTAAGAATGATGGGAAGTCAACAGATATAAAGAGAACTACAATTCATAAAACTGAACATGAATTTGTGAATGAATCAAAACCAAGGGCAAGAACAGCATCAGACCATTGGGATGTTTTACTGAGGAAGGCAGGATTTGGTCTTCAGAGTCTCAGAAAATCAGCACAGATACGACGACCTCTGCCAAAGCCCATTTTCAAAGACAGCAAAATTGGGTCAACAAGAGAGTATGATATGAAAGATACTGATAAAAACCTTGATATTATAGTGCCGAGACCTGGGTGTAATGGTATGGATAATCAAAACCCCATGTTTAAAGGTAGGACTATAGGTTTAGTCAAACCTACATATAGAGCACCCAATGGTTTGAAACCCTCCCTGGATGCTGTCAGCAAGGCCAACAATGCTGCCTGGGCAAGAGTTGTTGGAAGGAAGCCAACAAAGCAGTCGACACAGCAAGTGAAACAACCTGGACTAGAAAAGATGGCTGATTTAGACAGTGTCAGTGACAAATAGGGATAAATGTCACTTTTTCAAGAATTTGGTATGAAAAATATGTCTTGAATATAATTGCAAGCATATCAAAACTTGATTATTTTCAATATGTCCAATTTTTTTTCATCATTTTTATAGCAATTAATATTCATGTTATTAACACAGGTATGTGGTTGAGCAATTTTCTGCATTTCCTTAATCATTTTTTTAATTGCAACTGTTGATCATTATAATGTTCATTGTTGGTGACTTTGAACACGACATTTCTGCTGTCCTAGGTCAAAGTTCGTAAGTTTTACAATTAGATAGATTTATACTATCAAAATTTTAGAAGACAGCTGAAACATTTGTTCTCCATTAATACACATTTGTTTTTCAGAATTCTTCAAAATGAAACAATAATTTTCTAAAATTGCTTGTTATCTTGCTATCCAGAAAATAAACACCTTTTTATCATGTAATTTATACATGCAACAAACTTTAAGAAATACTGTAGATTCCTTTTTGATCGCCCACTTGATCAATGCTGTAACACGAATCTCATATATATTAATATGTAATGAAACTTCATTAATTTTTCCTCTAATCTTCTTTTCTGATCACAAATATAATTACACACAATTAAGTTGATATGTTACACATTACAATCTATTTGTGTCAAGCTTCAACACACTGACCTACTAAAACAACTGATAAGAGATGGACCCATCCATTATGTACTTCTTCATGAAAAGCAGTGTCCATTTTATCATTTTTGTGGAAAAACTTAATGCAAGAAGAAACCACATGGTAACATCTGTCCTTGAGTGATTATAAATATGTTTGTTTTGAAAACAATATCTGAAGTTATGAGGTTATAAGAGAAAAAAAGAATATTTGGTAAATAATTACTTATGGAGAGTAAATACAGAAACAACAGCATTGGCAAGGGTTTTTTTTTCTCCATTAATGTATTATTTTTATTCTATTTTAAACAGTTCCTGGTCCACTGTTCACCAATGGAGGCAAGAAAGCACCCTACAAGGAGCAGTCTGACCTGAGATCCGAGGCAGGATCACGCAGTGATGGAACAGTGACACCTAGAAATATTCTCATCCAGTCCCCAGCTTCTAGCCAGAATAGCCATCTCTAATACTCTAAAGCAAATATGTACTGAATAAGCCCAGTGTACCAACACATTATCAGTAACTCAAAGACAAAGGATGGGCTTATCACAGGACAATGATTTCTTAATTCTTCTAAGTAGTAGTATATAAGAGTGGGCTTATTGCAAGACATGGACTCATTAAGGATTAAAACAATAATGTTGAAGTAACTGGTTTATTAAAGCACACCAGATTTACTTTTGAGAATTTTTTCAGATTTTTCTATTGCTAACATTTGTTTTCATCTCTTAAACAAGTTAACTTCTATCTCTGTGTATGTTGTAGGGAAAATCTTCACCAGCTTTTACAGTAGTCCGAAACGTTATTTCTGTACATCATCAAATTCCATGAAATTTAGCCAACACTGGATAGCAAAATAACAATATGAAATCAATAAAAAAGAATGGGGAAAAATAGAGAAAATGAAAATCTGAGGATGATACAGCCTGCATCATAGAAATCTATCTACTGTGTTTATTGTATATATATGTATTTTTATTGATTTTCAGACACACAGTCATATATATTTCTGAGGTTAAATTTTTCTTGGTTTTCAATAAAGAAAATTATATTCCATGGATAAATAAATATGTATAAATCTATTTATATATTTTTTACAGTTTATGGACATATGAATTCATGGATTAAGTGTTCCCACGAAATCAATGAAAATAGATCCTCCACAAAAATTAGTAATTGTACAGTAAACATTAAGATAATGACAATATTTATCATGTGAAGAGCTTAATTGATTAAACTCAATTAAAGTCACTAAAAGACTGAAGTATGGAATTCTAAAATTCCCCCTCCCTGACTTTTCATACCTCATAGATATTGGTATTATTTATAACTGGATATGACACTATTACAATACACTGTCCTCAGTTGGAAAACTAAAGCGACCCAAAGATGACTGATGGACACAGATCCTTGACCCAAGGTCAACAACAAAGGAGTCAAAGTTCAAATTATCAAACCTACTTTTATTACACAACATGGATACAATTTATAAATGTTTGTTCAATGATATACAACATACATATCAGAGGGCCAGCACTTGGTTTCTTCATATTTTATTTTCTCAAAATAAAGGACTTTGTAATTACTTTCCATTCAAGAATCTGTTGTGTTTTAACTGAAGTTGATCACAGGACTAAATGTCATAAAAATGTTTGTTGCTCAACAGAAATTACACTGTAAGTAATCTAGACAAGAATTTAAACAACTGGAATTTCTTTACTGTAAATTGACCGAGAAGACATCTACTGTAACGCCCATTACAGAGTAGTCTCCCCTATCTCAACAGTACTATAATATGTAGGTTCTTTTCACACAACTTGTATTTAATTGTCCCATAATCCTGGAAATGATGCAACAATATCACACTTATTTTTCAATAATGATTCCTGGATTGATATCCTTAGAATGTATTTTGGTATTCTTTCCATTGTCTTTGGTGTGATGTACATTCTCTATGATATGGTGTCACTTCTCTATGGTTTAGTGTCCATTCTCCATAGTGAGGTGTCCATTTTCCATGATATGGTGTCACTTCTCTATGGTTTAGTGTCCATTCTCCATAGTGAGGTGTCCATTTTCCATGATATGGTGCCACTTCTCTATGGTTTAGTGTCCATTCTCCATAGTGAGGTGTCCATTTTCCATGATATGGTGTCACTTCTCTATGGTTTAGTGTCCATTCTCCATAGTGAGGTGTCCATTTTCCATGATATGGTGCCACTTCTCTATGGTTTAGTGTCCATCCTCCATAGCGAGGTGTCCATTCTCTATGATATGGTGTCATTTCTCTATGGTTTAGTCTCCATCCTCCATAGCAAGGTGTCCATTCTCTATGATATGGTGTCACTTCTCTATGGTTTAGTGTCCATTCTCCATAGTGAGGTGTCCATTTTCCATGATATGGTGCCACTTCTCTATGGTTTAGTGTCCATTCTCCATAGTGAGGTGTCCATTTTCCATGATATGGTGCCACTTCTCTATGGTTTAGTGTCCATCCTCCATAGCGAGGTGTCCATTCTCTATGATATGGTGTCATTTCTCTATGGTTTAGTGTCTATTCTCCATAGTGAGGTGTCCATTTTCCATGATATGGTGCCACTTCTCTATGGTTTAGTGTCCATTCTCCATAGTGAGGTGTCCATTTTCCATGATATGGTGTCACTTCTCTATGGTTTAGTGTCCATCCTCCATTGTGAGGTGTCCATTCTCTATGATATGGTGTTATTTCTCTATGGTTTAGTCTCCATCCTCCATAGCGAGGTGTCCATCCCCCATAGCGAGGTGTCCATCCTCCATAGCAAGGTGTCCATCCTCCATTGTGTGGTGTCCATTCTCTATGATATGGTGTCATTTCTCTATGGTTTAGTGTCCATCCTCCATAGCAAGGTGTCCATTCTCCATAGCAAGGTGTCCATCCCCCATAGCGAGGTGTCCATTCTCTATGATATGGTGTCATTTCTCTATGGTTTAGTCTCCATCCTCCATAGCGAGGTGTCCATTCTCTATGATATGGTGTCATTTCTCTATGGTTTAGTCTCCATCCTCCATAGCGAGGTGTCCATCCCCCATAGCGAGGTGTCCATCCTCCACTGTCCATCCTCCATAGTGAGGTGTCCATCCTCCATTGTGTGGTGTCCATCCTCCATTGTGTGGTGTCCATCCTCCATTGTGTGGTGTCCATCCTCCATAGCGAGGTGTCCATCCCCATAGCTAGGTGTCCATCCCCCATAGCGAGGTGTCCATCCTCCACTGTGTGGTGTCCATCCTCCATTGTGTGGTGTCCATCCTCCATAGTGAGGTGTCCATCCTCCATTGTGTGGTGTCCATCCTCCATTGTGTGGTGTTCATTCTCCATTGTGTGGTGTCCATCCTCCATTGTGTGGTGTCCATCCTCCATAGCGAGGTGTCCATTCATATGATATGGTGTCATTCCCCATAGCGAAGTGTCCATCCTCCACTGTGTGGTGTCCATCCTCCATTGTGTGGTGTCCATCCTCCATTGTGTGGTGTCCATCATCCATAGCGAGGTGTCCATCCCCCATAGCAAGGTGTCCATCCCCCATAGCGAGGTGTCCATCCCCCATAGCAAGGTGTCCATCCCCCACTGTGTGGTGTCCATCCTCCATTGTGTGGTGTCCATTCTCTATGATATGGTGTTATTTCTCTATGGTTTAGTCTCCATCCTCCATAGCGAGGTGTCCATCCTCCATTGTGTGGTGTCCATTCTCTATGATATGGTGTTATTTCTCTATGGTTTAGTCTCCATCCTCCATAGCAAGGTGTCCATCCCCCATAGCGAGGTGTCCATCCTCCATTGTGTGGTGTTCATTCTCCATTGTGTGGTGTCCATCCCCCATAGCAAGGTGTCCATCCCCAATAGCGAGGTGTCCATCCTCCATTGTGTGGTGTCCATTCTCTATGATGTGGTGTTTATCCTCTAGGGTTTTTTTTCTCTTTTTTTGCTGATTTTTATACGTTTTAATGTTATGTCATAAAATGAAAATGTAAACACTGAGGACAATATAATGTTACAGAAACTGAATATTTTATTTATGATATGGTTCCTATTAGGGTGAAAAGCTGGAAAGTTTGTTCTGTTTCTCATTGGATACTCAGTTAATGCTCATTTCCTATAATGATCAGAAATCCACTGAATATGCAGGGAAGTCCTCCATAATTTGCCTTTTGTGAGCATTCTTTATGACACTGCAGAACTATTGTTTACTCAAAGACCTCATTTCGGGTCAAATTTCTCTTACCATGGACAGGTATCACTCTTATCCTTGACAGGTATTTCTCTTACCCTGGACAGATGTCACTCTTACCCTGGACAGGTATTTCTCTTACCCTGGACAGATGTCACTCTTACCCTGGACAGGTATTTCTCTTACCCTGGACAGGTGTCACTCTTACCCTGGCCAGGTATTTCTCTTACCTTGGACAGGTGTCACTCTTACCCTGGACAGGTATTTCTCTTACCCTGGACAGTTATATCTCTTACCATAGACAGGTATTTCTGTTATCTGGACAACTGTTTCCCTTACCCTGGACAGGTATTTCTCTTACCCTGGACAGGTATCACTCTTACCCTGGACAGGTATTTCTCTTACCATAGACAGGTATTTCTCTTACCCTGGACAGGTGTCACTCTTACCCTGGACAGGTATTTCTCTTACCCTGGACAGGTGTCACTCTTACCCTGGACAGGTATTTTTCTTACCATAGACAGGTATTTCTGTTATCTGGAAAACTGTTTCCCTTACCCTGGACAGGTATTTCTCTTACCCTGGACAGGTGTCACTCTTACCCTGGACAGGTATTTCTCTTACCCTGGACAGGTGTCACTCTTACCCTGGACATGTATTTCTCTTACCCTGGACAGATATATTTCTTACTCTGAGCAGGTGTTTCTCTCATCCTGAACAGGTATTTCTCTTACCCTGAAGAAATATTTCTGTCGTCCTTGACAACTGTTTCCCTTACCCTGGACAGATATATCTCTTACCCTGGTAAGGTGTTTCTCTGATCTTGGACAAGTATACCCATGTTTTTTTCCGGTATGAAATTTCCTTGTCTCGCGCGAAGAATGCGACGAGGGGATTCCCTGTCGGGCAATGGTATGACGTCACTCTACTCTAGCCATTTCCTGATGTCCATAATTCCATAATTTTTTTTATATCTGTGATGTAACCTCAACGATGTAAAGCAGTGGGACAACAAAAACATTACCTAATAAGGCCGGCAGGGTAACAATATAATTTTTCACTTACTTTTTGGCGAGATATGTGGATCTCAACTCTCTTTTGTTTGCTAACTTCATCTTTCCCTTCGGGTTGGGATCACCCTATCCCATTTCCGTAGGATTGAAAGATTCCGTCAGTCCACGCTTTTACTTTGGTGACGTGTTATTGTCACACCTCATGAGGAGACTGGGAGTCCTCCTGTCACTGGAAAATGGCATGACGTAACAGCAACAATTCAATGACGTCACGTCATTAATGCCAGTCCTAACTCTCCCTTAAAAAGTGAAAGGTTCTTTATCTAAAAGGACCGAAATGTGACACTATAGTTATAAGTAAGTACATCTGGACAACATTCCTGTTTACTATGTATATCGATGTTTACATATGTGATTAATGATAAACAGGAAGTCGGTAATTACCAATAGAACTCGTGAAATGGTGGAAATATAATAAAGTTTGCTTTCAGTTTACAATACCGATGAAAAAAGGAGAAGGGTATCTGCTGCTTCTAAGTCGATTTCAATATTTTGTTTTAATTAATAAATTTATTTTTCAACCAACCATTACTTGCAATATCAAATTGCCAAAAACATTAAGCTTTTAACTTCTATAAGCAAACATTATGATGAATATCAACAGTTTAATTCTCTTCAATCTCAACATTCAGCCATGTGAATCTTGTACTGTACTGATATATACCATGTTCTTTATACCAGCTAATCTCCATACTCCAGTCAATTATCAATAGAATTTCTACTGGGGAGATTGTATATTCAATATTCCAACCCCTAGTGGCAATTAACATCTTAGCGACAAATCGAGACATAAAAATATCATACATAAATAGTATTTTGATTTATTCATTGTTTATATCTTAAATAAGACATCAGTGGTTCCCCTCAACAGCCTCACTGTACATCCTCGCCATTCATGTGATCCTGGAGGGAGCTCTTCTTAAGAAATTTATCAAAATTTTATTGAACTTTTAAAAATCCTATGAAAAGATATAGTTATTCTGGTCAACCTTTCAGATATGAAAGCAAACCTATCGCTAAATGGAACTTGAAATTGTTTTCCAATAACGGTTATCTTTTCTGCCATCTCGCCTATTATAGTCCAAACGTAATAACACATCGTGTTTAAACATTGCTTCTAAAGCAAGCAGGAAGATATAGCACAACTTATAGAAAGCTTCTCCTCCATAATTTTATTCAACAATGTAACAGCAACAATAGACATACATGTACATTTTACACAATATAGCATCTTGTTCATGTCATGCTCGCACACCATGCTGATTACTATCAATATTCATAAGGGAATCACAAGAAGATTAGACTAACTGCTTTGACTTCAAATTAAATTTTGAGTTCATAAAATAATTATATGGCTTTAAATGGCTTAACAACAAAAACGTATTTCATTTTAAAAATCACACCGGTGGTTTTGAAATTTAAGTTGAATGCATGTAAAATTGCAATAACGGATTGTTTTTTGTTTTGTTTTGAATGGAATGTGTAATTGACGGCGCTGTGCTAAATTTCGCGATGTGGCTTTGTTTACTGCAAAGTTATGTCACTTATATCGGTTATAAATACCATGATAAGATAGTTTAATGCATATGATGTTATCACCTAAAACGTTGGACATGTCCCACTAATGAAAACAATACACAGTGCACACATACTAAAAGAAATAAAAGATAAATCTGTTATATACGATTACTTATATATCACACAAGAAATAGAATATTTACCAATGAGGTAATGATAACAACCACAAATATTGATTTTTGAATTCTGGCCATTTTTTCTTTCATTTTTACTGTGAATTCTGTCTTTATATATTCTTCAAAAGATAGACTCTGATCATTCTGTGCATCTATATATGTTAAAAACAAACATGCTGCATACTTGTATAACTCTACCATTTCACCTATTCCATTTGCCACTCTGAAACTAAATAGACAAACATTCACTTGACGAATTTGAAGTTCCGATACTCGTAAAATAGTGTCAGTTTGATGTGATTTTTTAAAAAATGATTGAGATCGCGTAATTAACGGTTAGCCTACTCGCCTGCAGTCACATCATATATAATTAGTATACAGTCTTGTGACATATTCGGTCTTTGTAATCATCATCATATTCTGGTCAATCTTTCTCCCCTCTTTTAATTTACACCCACACCTTCACAGAAAACGTTTTCATGAAGTCTATAGATTTTTTAGTTATTTCATCGTGTACGTTATATTTTTTAAATAAATGACATTCCGTGTATTCAGTAAGTAAAGGTCAGTCAGAGCCTATTTCGAAGGAACAATGTTTCATTTGAAGCGAACGTTATATTTATTTCTAAATCCGTGTCCAACCTATTTACAATCAGACTATAGTGAATCTGATGTTAACTGGGTCTAGATTGATGGTTGTCTTGGTGATGGGACCCTGGAAAGCATGCATGTATACACTGCACTTACCAGTAAAAAGTGTTTGCCTTGGTTAATACAGGCCGAAGTTTGAATGCAACAGAATGTCGTTATTTTTCAAGAGTAAATTCAATTCTTCATTTCCAAATGCAACACATACACAAAGGGTTTTAGTTAAAACGACGAGAGTTGATATATCAAGAGTAATGAAATATTCTACATAATCGTTTACCCCATGTAAATAATTGTACGCGAACATCGTGTGTTGTTTTTGTTCACTGTACATAGTGCTGATTTGGTGCAAATAATAACGATATGCACTATATATGTAATGACAAGAAATTGTCTTATATCAGTTGATTAATAAGGACTGACAATCATATAAGCAGAGACGTCTCTGAAATAAGGTCGTCCATGTGTATTTATGTATTCATTCATTTCTTTAATTAATTAATAGCTTGCCCAACCAGTTTGAAATAAATATATTATGTACCTATATGTAGGCATCTCCTTCCAGTCTATCCGTTAGGCAACAGTAATAGTTTTTACGATCACACTAGATTATACCTAGAACTGGCTAAGTGAAGCATGGGAACCTCCGATTGGTTAATTGTTCTGAAGTAGCGCGGTATTTTGATATCTTAACAATACAGGTGATAATTCGAGCTGTCCCTGACAGTAGTTGAGTGATAACACAAAGCCCCGGGCACCGACACAAAGAGTTACGTCCCATGTGTATAACTCTTGTGCGGCGGGAAAATACTTCACATCTATTGGCTGATATGTACCACGTGAATAGTCCTTTGTAGCGTCCTACGGCTTGCTAATCATACTACAAGGTTTCTACAAAGAACATCGTGCTTCATTTTATATATAACAGTATGGGTAAGTTCACTACTTCTATATACACATAGTAGGATTTGGTAGTTGATGATAGTTGATTTTCTAGACGAATATGCTGTTGATGACACAATTTCATGATCGAATTGCACGATCGGTGAGGGTCATTTTTGACCATGTTTATAATAATTTTGGATTTCATTGTGGTTTTCAGGATAAATTTCCCTCGGCTTGCTCGCCGGGTTGTTCACAAAGCTATATAGGCGTTTGGTAGCGTTTCAGTAGCCATGTTCTTGTGTATATATAGTAATAGTAGTGATGATCAATTTAGTAATATTTTGAAACAAAGATCATTTATATGGAATCCAGATTTTGTAGAATGATAAAAAGTAATTAATTTTGTACTTTGGTTCACCTGGACCCACTGGTATTTCGGAGGCCCATCGAAAGGGGACAAAAAAGATTCGGGGCTTCTTTGACTTATATATATTTTTTTCGAAACTTGTAATGTGAAAATTTTGTGAATTCGAGAGAACATTTCAATGTTATAAATATTACATATAAATTCTAGCGTGAATAGAGGTCGATTGCTATCGAAAACATTTTTTTTAAATTTTAATCCGATTTTAAAAACGAATACAAAGCATCTGGAGGGAACGCACACGTTACTTTAGTAGTAAGCTAGTATTCATATCGATGAAATTGTGTGCCGAACTAAATTATTGAATTTTCATCATTATTGTATAATTTCTTGACGTTTGAGTTTAAAAGAATGATTATTGACCAAATTTTGTTCAAATTAACCATAAATAAGATAATTTTATTGGCATAGCCATATATCTAGGGATGCCTTGGCTTTTGCGCCTGTTCTGACCTACATAATGCTTGATTTAACTCAAGTAAATTTTGGTAAAACCAGAGTTATTTGAATCATTACCATATTACTATTTATTCATAAAATATAAATCTTAACACTGATTTGCCATTTTCATTAATTATTTCAATACTTTCACTTACATTTTATAAAATTTATAAATCATAAGTGATTTATGTAATATTTTGACAATTATTATTTTGGTATATTAAAAAGAGACTGACATGAGAACTGCTGTGGTGAAATGTTTTGTTTTTTGAGACTGTAGGAAGCATCAGTGATTATATAACATTCTCATTTTAGTCTCTTGATTAAATTACTACAAGCTTGGTTAAACAAGTTAAAAAGCACAATGCTCACCAATTTTAATGACTAGTATCCAAGTTTTATCTACTTAACAGAAACATTGAAATGATGCTTTTACACAACTAAAACATCAAAATGAATTTCATAATCCCCTTAATGAGGTTTTCTTTATTGAGTTTCTTTTCTAATCTGCACAATTACAACAAATTCTGTTAGTATATAAGATTGGGGGGAAAAAACCCAAAGTGATCAACTTGCAGTCCTTTATTTTATTTTAAAAAATAACTAACATGTTTGCTTTGATTTACATCCCTGATGATAAACTGAAAATGAAGCCAAGTTGAAAGTATGTGTTATTATTTTGCAATGTATTATGTATATCTTAATGAAACCATGCATTTCATTTCCAACTTGTGGGACTTGGGTCTTATCAACAACTTTGGTCACCAGACCGTCAGTCTTAAAAACAAACCAAGCTGCACATCATATTGTAATTAATATCATTGTTATAAAAAAATATTTTTTAAAATCCCAAGAAATGTAAAGTGTTAACTTAATTTCTAGACCCATACCAGGTGTGTTGGAATATTATTCTTATACCAAGCTAGGCCAGTAAGATTAAGCATTCAATGAAGAACAAAGCGCACACTTTCTGGAGCGAAAATATAATATTATTGGTACTAGTGGTGATACAATATAATTAATGCTAATGATTGTATAAGCAAAGATTATATCAAAGTTGATCAGAAATAAAACCAGAAATATGTATATAATGACACATTTCTGTATAATATTCACTACAGGAGGCATGTAGTTTTTTTGTTTACACATATACTAATTGATAACAAAACTAGGGCTGTCGTGGATATACAATTTTTGTGTGAGGTACTTGATCATAGAATCCCTACCCATACCCGATTACTTGCAAGTTTTAGTAATGTGATCACCACAAATTCAAGAAAGAACACAATGTGATCAACACCAATTTTTCAAGTATGATTGGCTAACCAATTATCAACTAAAAATTATAGCCAGGAAAAAGACTTTTACAATGTTTTCCAACTTACGTTTATGTGCATATTAATAAAGTTTCTTATCAACAGCCAGCCTACAAGAGTACAGAATTACTTGAAAACATTTTACAGGGAATTTTACTGTAGTACTGACTCTTGTAATCAGGTGCACATTTTATAACCTGGCTTGGTATTGAAACCGATCCGAAAAGAGTAATCCAAGTACTCGGTACATCCCTATACATAACTAATCACTAATTCTTTAATAAATTTTGTAATAGTTTGTTCAACCATTTCAAAATTTTAAAAAACTTCAGTCCTCTAGGCAACACTGGTAGTAATGCACATTTTTGTATATACAGTTAAAGGTTTTGTTAGTATTTTATTTGAGCTGTTAAATTTCTAATGTGTGCTTGTCCAAAGCAATTTTTTAAAAAAAAAATCAATTATTTTAAATCATGTTTTGGTGGCAATGGAATTAATTTGAATCAAATTTTGGTTCTTTGTAGGTCGTCCAACAGCAGATTCTCCCACCAAGAGGAAGAGGAAGCCAAAGGATGCCAACAGGCCTAAAAGAGCAACATCAGCATATTTCTTTTTCTTAGCTCACTGCAGAGCGGAGGCTAAGACAACAGGCAGAAATGTTTCAAAGGTAACCAATGTTTTATTTTAATGATACTGCTACATGGCAATCTATTATTAACCATTGTCAACCCTTAGTATCCTCAATTTGATATTCTCTAATTGATCTTTTAAAGTCCAAAGTTAACATACTGTATCACCAAGCAAAAATAAATGTTTCAGTACACAAATGAGGGGGAGGGGGGGGGGAAAGAAATGTAGTAATTTTAATATTTTAGAAAGTGTCTTTCACCATTTTTGATTTTTTCCTTTTCATAATTTATATGACTAACAATGTAATGTATTCAATTACTAGATTGCTGAATTCACCAAAGAAGCTTCTGCACAATGGAGGGGCATGAGCGATGATGCAAAGAAGCCATTTGAAGTCCGTGCTGCCAAGGATAAGGCACGATATGATGCCGAAATGGCCATGTTCAAAGGGAAAACTGTAGACCCCAACAAACCAAAGAGACCACAGACCGCTTACTTCCTCTTTCTTGGACAATTTAGGAAAGATATGAAGAACAGTGGAATCGACCATAAAGATATTATCAGAAGAGGTGTGTAGCTTGATCATTTTCCCCTTCTGTTATGCATCATGTAATACACTTGGTAGTATGTAATATGTTATATTTACCCAAAGTTTTATCTTGTTTCAACATCAGTCACCTTGTACATTTTAACTGAAAGTTGTCTGATGCGAAGCTGGAACACAACCCTACAAATGAATACAAAATTCACTGACAGTTTTAATGTTACTGACATTCAGGATGTCAATATGATATACAAGCAATGATATAGTACCATCTTACATGAATCAAACCATGAGCTGTTTCTGTATAAAAAGAATGGGTCAGGAAACTTCAAATTTTATGTTCAGCAAGATAGGAACTGATATAACATGTTGAGTAAAAAAGATGATGAAATTTGGTTAATATGTAAAAATTCAAACTTCATTATTCAACAGTTATTAAAAATGGATAAAAAAATTCCCCTTATTTTCAGCTGGGGCTAAATGGAGGGAGATGACAGATAGCCAGAAGAAACCATTTGAGGAACAAAGCCAAGTTTTACAGAAAGACTATGACAAGGAATTAAAGAAATGGAGAGAGGTATGTATTAAAGGACATGTGTGTGATATTGTTGATTTTGCTTCTTTACGTCATTTTTTTGCTATTTTTGAAGTTTTGATAAAATAGCAAAATTATATTGTTTCTTTCCACTTCAATCAGCTTCAGGTTTTAAAAGTGGAAATGATTATTAAATGTTCGATGTACAGATTTAAGAAAGCAGATTGTTTTATCAGATAGGTTTCCTAAGGTACCTTCTTGATCCAGTTAAGTGTTGAAATGGATGGGGGGATGGGGGAGGCTTCAAAAAAAGTTGGTATACAGCCAATTTTCATTGTTTGACTGTTATCAGAAAATCACTATCAGAAACTGAGGTATGGTTTATTCTAAAATTTCATATATAAGCTTCTGTAGTTGATTGTAGTATTCTTTATTCAGTTGATGTTAAAAACTAGCACAGTACGGGAGACAAAGAGGAAAGGTTGCACTCAAATAAAAAAAAAACCAATGAAAACATGATGGGCTACAAGGACCCTCTAGAATATCATTTCTTCCTGCATAGCAACTGGCCTGTGTCTGAACAGCTTGTAGAAAAATTCATATGTTTCAGTAAAGAAACATTACACAGACAGGAAGCATTATGATGGATCTCTGATAACATATTCTCGTTGGTTTTACCTTTCTGGGTATGAATTCAGCATTTTCTTTGCAGATTTTATAAAGATTGTTCTGTTTTCAGGGTGGAACATCAAGTGGTGCTACTGGTGGAGTCAGGCAACAGGTACCAGTAAACAATGGTATGGAGGAAGAGGAAGATGATGATGATGAAGAAGAAGATGACGATGAGGAAGATGATGATGAGGAGGATGATGATGAGTGAAATGATTGTGCTTGTGTTGAATTGACATGTTATGAACATAGATTGGAGATATTGCAGAATGTGTCAAAAATTCTTCAGAAAAGAAACAAGTATTTCATACTTATTTATGTTGTGTAAATGTTTCTCCAAATCTAGCCAAGAGAACAATCAAATGTTTCCTTTATGGAACAATAAGCAGCATTTGAAACATTGCTTAGTGAATATTTTAGTTGTGACAAATTATTTGGACAAAAAAAAAATGGCAATGTTTTGTACATTAAATGTTTAAAATAAAGGACAGGTACTTAACAGAAGGTTTTATTTCATATGAATAGATATATAACAGAAATTCTACAAATGAAGGCATTAATTCTGTTGCATTTTTAGGAATATCAGCATTTCCTCTAGAGTATGGATTATTTCCTGGTAATCATGAAGAAAGTCCCTATATGGAGTGTTTAGAACAAACTATGATTTTATCACTGATGTGATTGATATTCAGCTTGGAAAATTGTGCTGATATGATATGAATTTGTTTTCCGATGATTGTCTCCAATCAGTTGTTTTGTTTAGTTTTTTTTTCTTTTTTTTTTCTCCATTTTGTAAAGTAGCATTCATCTTTATGTCTTCACATGATTAGACATTCCATTCTGCTGCCAATTCATTTTGTTTCCATTTTTACTTCTGTGAATTTTGATTTTTAATCAAATTTTAATGAAATTATAAATTTCCTGGAAGGTTGTATGTGTAATCAGGTCAGCAATTTTGCTTTGATCTTCTATTGTATGTACTAGAAAATTCCTACAATCCTGTACTCGGTTTAATTAAGTGTCGGAGGCAGAATTGATTTGTACAGAATGAGAAATAATTTTTACAAATTTTGCATGTTTTCCCCTTCCTTTTTTCAATGTTATGAAAAAAGATATTTTGAAAAAATGAAAGCATTTAAGTTTTGCCTCCATTTTTATTTAATCCGCTCAGGGAAAAGATCATCATGCTTAAAATATAAACATTGATTTACAATGTAAGCAGTTGCTTATAAATTCTCCTTTGAAATATGAACATAGAATTGTGGCACAGTGAATGGAATGTCACCAAATCTCATATTCCATTTTTCATCGTCATAGTGTTTGATCTTGTTGGCATATATGACTAATCTGGTACTTAGGATGAGGTACCGAAAATGCCAGATTTACATAAAAAGTATATATGTCAATTGTCCATATATATATTATATATAAATTATATCCCATCATGTCATTGTAGAGAGTCCGTATCATTTTAGTTGAAACTTTTTACAGAAAGAAACTTTTGTCCATATTTTTATTGATGTTTAGAATATTTGAGTCTTGCTACCTTCAAGACTACATGTATCTTAAAGTCATGTCAATAAAAAAGTGAAATTGTTGATATATTACTTGTCATAAGTTATCAGGTACTGGAGATATATATATATAAGCATCAGGTCGAGTCTACTGTTAGATAGGGGAAGTAACCTGAAAATAGACAAGCAAGATGGCATCTAAATATTTCAACAATTTATGATATGTAAGCAATTTGGTTAATTGTCAAGTGATTCTGGCTTTTCTGATTGTTATGATTGACTGTCCATGTTTTCGGCTCCTACACACCTATAGGGAAATTAAATCACTACAGACGTGGCCAGCATGGCAGACAATCGGCAGATGTGAACAAAAACCAAACAGTAGCAAAAGGTGCATAATGTCCTCACTACAGTGTAGTCTTCTGATTGTTATCAGTAAAATTTCTTTGGTTATGTCTACTGGTTACAATTGATAATTGATCGTGATTTTCAATCAATATACCAATACTAGTGATTATGGTTTCTGGACCCCTACCTCTTAAGATGGCAGCAATAGCTGCCATATTGAAAAAAAAAATTTGATTGCTACATGTACTTCTGATGAACAGAAAGTAAAATTGAGACAGGACTTTAATCAACGAGTCGTGTTTTGTTTGCAGATAGTTAATCTACAATTAGATTTTGACCATTAATCTATATTTAAATTTTGACCCCAGCTACTTTAAAGATAGCTACAAGTAAAATTGGGATGATGAATGGAAGGTATGGGGGAGACACAAATTTCCACTCTTAGTGTTTGATGAAAAGATGACAAAAGTGTTGTCACTACTTCACAACAGAAAGATGAATCGAATCACTAAACAGGATTGGCTTTTGTCTTTGAAGATGGCAATTCACTAAACCTCATCTTTCCAAAAAAACTTGGTACATGTATAGCAGCTTCTGAAATGAAAAGCCATTAATCATACTGATTTTATTATGTGGTTAATTATGAGTAATACACATAATTGCAGGCATTATTTCTTGTTTGAGTCGCCTGGCCACGTGTGGTCAAAATTGAGGTCACTTACTGTAATTCCCATTTCATTAATTATCTGATTGCCTGAAATGTTAATCACAAGTATCATCTCTTGTACAAACTTGTGGTATAAAGATTAAAGTAACTTTTGCTATAAACAGAGTTTTGATATCCTCACTTTACTCGCTGACTAAACAACCTGATTGTTGTTCTGAAGCTTGGATGTTTGGTCTTAACCTCTTGGGGTCAAAAATAAACAGACATCAGTTTGTGCTCTACCAACTTAATTAACATTGGATTGTTGTAAAACTTTCTAACATGCATCCGTTCGAGTACCAGTCTCGACCGCTGTGGTCACAATAAGGTCACTTACTATAAGTAGATTTTCAACGTTCCGCATTACTGGTTTAATTAATCTACTAATTGTCCTGGAACTTCTTGCACTGAAAGCCTTATTTTCCGGGGTCGAAATTGTTACTTTCAACAAGTATTCAACCATTCTCTACCGGCTTCATATCCATTACGAGTTTGCTGTTTCTAGTAGTCTTCAACACCTGATTCATTTAGCAATAACACTATACAAGTTTAATACCAGTAAAGCACCAGTTGTTAGGATACTCTCATTGTCGATATCGGGTGCACCTGGCCTTGAGTTCTCCACTACCGACTCCTGGTAACCGCTGACAGTAATACATGCATTAATCAATCGAGTCATGTATACCTAGACCGCCAAATTCCACGATGGTTGTGTGGGAGTTCATAAAGATGGCTGCCCTATGGCAATTTTGATTTTTGAATAGTCATACATTGGGATCAAATGAAACCTACATTATGCAAATCCAGACGCTACAAAGATATCAACTCAGTACGTTTCAAGAACTTGGTATAACAAACTTTAAATGAAACATTTCATGTTTAAGAGAGTCAAAATAACTCTACTAAAATAGGGAGGCGATAATGATAATTATCGTCCCTTAGGTTAAATGTGCTAATGGTTTTAACGACTTTTCAATAAACAAGAGCCAAAGGGTCATAATATTGGGGTTTAAAATTAAAAGGTTGTAAAAAATGTAACTACTTCAACGTCAGGTCGTGGCAAAATATTTACACGGCTTCTCAATAACAAAGACATAGAGGGCCATTATATTTTGACCAATGTCGTGCTTTGATAAATGTTTACAAAGTTTGTTCAAATAAATAACCTTGATGTACTTTGAAGATCTAAAGGGTAAAATATATTGAACCTTTTAATTGGAAATGAACATTTTAGCACAGACATGCTTGGAAAAAACGTTTCCGTGTTTATTTCAAAGAAATTACCTTACTTGCTATCGAAGTCACATGATTCAAGCGCTTTAAAATCTTAAACACAACTTCTTCTCAATAAGTAAAAGGTGCACGGTCGTGATATAATACATGAGCCCTGCTCAGATGAGGATTTGTTTAAATTCACGAGATTTATCTAATCGTAAGCAAGAAGAAAAAGGTATATACATGTAGTGAGTTTATGATAAAAGTTCATGTTGCCAGAAAAAAAGTCTTCCAATATTGCCTTTATGATATAAGCTTTCTAACCAGTTTTATTAATTTTGCATGTACAACCAATGATAGAGGACCATTATAAAAAAAGATAAGTAAGATCCAGCGAGTACTTCTCGACAAACAGTAAAACGCAGGATTGTCATTTTCCATCAAGTCAAATTTGGTTCGGCACAACTGGAGTCGGAAAGCATCTAACATACGAAATTTGTGAAATATCCATCGAGTATATCTCAGAGAAGTGATAGTTTAACTTTCACGCTTCGAGAGCGTCGTCTTCCTTCATCTAGGGACAAAAGGGACTTGCACAAGAATTGTGAAAATTTTCTATTCGCTACTACAATAGCGATAGCTTTTACAACTTTAACTGTTAAAAAAACTTATCCGCTTGTCTGCTGGCCTGTTTTCTCAGCCAAGAATTGAAAGTAAAATAGACCCATCAAGTAGCAATAGCATGTTGACTAACAAAGCAGTTTCAAAACTGGTTGGTGCAACTAGGGGCCAGGGTGTTATTGTTTGCCAGGAGGGGGATATTCTGTCGAGATATCTGCCTATCTTTTCGGCAGTTTGTTTCCTACAAATGGAACTTGAGAAAGATCTTCCTAAACAAATCATTAAATACTAGTAGCTATAAAAACGTCAACTGTCGAAGTCTAAGATGGCCACCTTTTCGGAATTCAGTCATTTAGGAAAATGTATATGTTAAATGAAGCCGCGATAGGTAAAGCGTTTGTCCAAGTACATGACTTCAGGTGAAAATTTAAAGTAGGCTATTCGATACCATCTTACAAAGTTAAAAAGAGTGATCTATGCTGTCGTGGTTGTCTTGTTGAGTAAGAAGCTTAATCTCTGGATTACCTGCGACGGGACTTCCGTAAGTTGTTCAGAGTGGTAGCATTGACTGTTGACAGGGCGATAAACCAATACAATTGGTCGTTCGTCAATTTTTCCTTATGCGACTTTTGAAGAACCGACGGAGAGTAGACCCCACAACATTTACGAATCTAAAGATACGGCATTAGTGATAAAAACCCGACAAAGTTTATGAAAAGAAGTAACTTTTACCAACATTCAAGCTCATTGTGCCGGTTAAAGCACTAAATCGACCCCTTATGAGCTACTAAATAAAATGCAAGAAAATCGTGATATTGACCAGAACATTTGAGGCCCGAACGAATTAAGTTTATTAAACGCTTCTGAAAGAAATGGCCTTGACTCAGTGTCATGGAGGTCATAATTGCTGAACCACTGCAATGATTTCGTTTGACTGAACAAAATGGCCAGTATGGTCCTGAAATCTAGTTTGAAAAGGTTTACCTGAACAAATATTCAAGGTCACGTGTGCCAAATTTGTTGAAGTACTATGACGATTTCTTCCATACAGAACAGAGACAGGGAGCATTGATATCTAGTCTATATACTCTAAAGATATCCTGACGATTATGTGAAAATAAATGACCATGAATATGACGAACAAATGAGGGTACTCGACTTTGTATCCTTCTTAACAAACATAGGACGGTACTCAGCTTTTTAAACCTTTGTATTCGTTTTTGTTTGTTTCTGGAACACGTGATGATGTATAGTCAACATCGGAAAAAAACTTCTGAAGTAGTATTATAGGATGCATGCGATATATAGAGGATGCACTTTCTGACACACAAGTACATTTACTCGTAATTTCTAACAGAGTTATCTCCCTCATTTATTTACAGGTATACCCAATCAATTTGATCAGATCAGATTGCTAAGACATGTGTTTATTTGCCATAAGATATTATCCGTGACTAAAACTGTTCCATGTCACACTACAGCAAGTGAAAAATAGTAACTTCCTCAATACCATGGCTTTAGGCCTACATCAGTCAGTACAATGGAAGTTACTAGAACACCGTCTTCTTTATACAGCAGATCTATGTGGCCAAGACATAAGTAACACACGCCTTTGATGTTTAGGTTGAAATTTTGGTATTAAATAGATACAATCAGATCAACACATTTTAAAATGTATAGAAAAATAACTCGGGCTCTATGTAAAAATCGAATTTGTATGAACATATCCAGATTATTTTGTTTCAGTTTGATCGATGTTCATAACCCAAAATAAACAGAGATTTTCCAAAGATTACAGACATAAATAACACATATATACGTATCTGCCAAGGACCATATTAAGTCATGCCTTTTTAATTTGAAGTGATATCTGTGTATATATACGCACACATAGGTATGTAAATCACCGTTAGCACCAGTATTAATTATTAGTCCTAATTATTCCCATGTGATATCGCAATATTTATATCAGGGTTGCGTTGATGACTAACTCGGACTAAACCTCATGTAACCTCTGTTTGATGGAAGGTTCAAGTACTGTAAATCAGTCCACGTGACTTGTACAACAGAAGCACTTAGCTACAGCTAGCGCTCCTTCCTAAAACAAATCCTACACACCATCTGCTACTACGGTGTATCAGTTACAACGTCTTTTTTTATACGCTGCTGGTGCTGCTGCAGGCTAATTATAAAAAGGCCATCTGGTAGATGTTCATTACCGTCATAATATACCCCTTGTCGGGCCCCTTGTTATTGGAACCGGAAGTTTCCATCTGAGCGCCATCTAGTTACTAAATGCTGAAAACAAAAACAACGAGGAAAACAGATGATGCAGAATGAAGTTCGACTTGAGTGACAAACTTCAATCAAATGGATAATGAGAATACAACGCTGAAAACAGGATATCTATTGAAATTTGTAAATATGATAGAATGCGTTATTTACACACCTTTTTAAAATACATGTAATATTGATTGTAATGTGCAACACCCCCTCAGTCCGGACCGAAGGAAATCCGTTTCGGCCAACTAAAAAGTTTCCACGGGATATTATTTTAGTCCAACTGTTTTTCTCTTATTTTGAATTGCTGTTGTCAACTTCATTTATCTTAGAACAGTTCGTTTGATTTGCATGGACATTTGTTTGCTTGCGTTTGATAGATTAAATCATTTTAATTACCTGTGATCGGCTATATTTTGGACTGCTAGTCTTTCGATTCGGTGAGTCATAGGCTCAGTCGGTATTAATATTTCGATCTATCTGTCTTTGAATTTTGTCGGATTTTTTTTCTCTGAACTTGTCTGGACAAGGGCATTGTTGGTATGATTTTCATTAAATTTATACAAAAATTATTCCATCGTTATCACTAATTATGGACATGCGTACCTGCTGGTCACCGATACTAACTGTTTTCTTCAGTAGCCTCTGTTCCACTTCCTCATGGAGTGGAAGTACTTTTTCATTACGAAAATTATTAAAACGCTGAATAACCCTCTTTGTTTTGTAGCAGAAAGTGCATCCAATAGCATTGAAAATAACTTCAGCAATTTAGCAATACTTTATATTCGGTATACTAAGCCAAATATCACCTGATGATACTTACACACAGGCATGTATCCAGAGAACTATCACTAGACTAAATTGTGTGAACTGTGAATTTAGTTTGATTGTTGACAATAATTTATATAACCAGGTTTCTTATTTCCAGTAAATTAAAAAAACATAATTAAGGGAGAAACAAAGCAAACTACTAAATATATGTCCCCCAAAAGTTTCTTTAAGTAGCAAGTCAGTGGTTGTGCATCAGAAAATGAATTTAAAAAAAACAACAACATGTCAACTATTGATGTAACATCCTGGTTATTTTCTGTTTTCTTCTTACAAATGACAAATGATATTTAGTGGTTTTCTCTGTACCCTAATTGCTCTGGATGGCATGCAGCTGGCCTGATGCCTTATGTTCAATAAAATGCTCAGCATCACCTACGGCTACTATGTACTACCTGTGGGAGACAAGTGCCTCAACATTATATTGACTGTTGACAAACAATTATTATTGTAGAGCATCAAAATAGCCTTTGCTTTGATAAAATATATTCTATTTAATTGTAGGAGCCAAACAAAAGATGGAAGATCAGATGGTTAGTGCTTCATGAAGATCAACTGACTTGCCATCACAGACGTGACAAGACAGTAATAGTCACCTTCATTTCATTGCATGGAGCATCAGTTATCTGCCCTTGCTTAGATGACCCTGTTGCTGATGCTCAGGTAAATTCTTTCTTTATATTTGTGTTATTATAAGAAAGTTTAACAATGTTATTGAGAACAATATTATTGTGTTTTGTAATATGTGTTTTAGGCTTTTAGAAGAAGGCTATAATCTCTTCTTAATTAGTTTCTTTATAAATAACCCATCTGATCTTTTCCAAAACTGTCAGCTGATATCTAACATTGGTAATTTTCAAGTAAATTGTAAGCTTATTTCATTTTGTATTGATCAAAGAGGAAATAATTGAGATTTTCAGTATCTTAAAACTGTGTGGTTTACATACACTTATAAGACCCATTGTAATTGTAAATTGGAAGGCATTCTGATTCAGAAATATTATTTAATAAATGCTTAATTCTGAATGAGACAAGTGTTAAACTTTTGTTTTGTAATTAAGGGAGTATTCAAGATAGTTTTGCCAGAGGGTGAGGAGATATACCTACAGGCAGCTGGGAGGAAAGATCGTGAAGGATGGGCTCATGCCATTGGTGCTGTGATACGCTCCATTTCAGGCTCAAAACAGGTCAGAATATGCTTTTTATTGACATTTGCAGTTCTTAATGAGAGTTGGTAAGCTAAGGAATTTTAGTGTACCTAAATTAAGGAGACTGAACTCCTGCTTAGACATGTTTAACATTTTGTATATTGTAATTTTGTGAATTTCAAGAAAAGATAAGTCCCTTGTCCTTCTACAACTAAAGATAGAACCAACATATTTTACTTATTTCCTGACCTGTCTGATTTTGGCATTTTAGAATTTAGCAAATTGCAGTATTACAGGAGTAGTATTAAAATTTGATCTTAATTCCATTCCTAATTCTTTTCTTTAATAGAAAAGAATTCAACATACCTGTAACAAATTGTTGAGATATCAATTAATATTTACGTCAATTGCTTTACAGTAAACATTTTGTTAATCTAGAATTCCGTATTTGTACTGAAACCAATTTTTTTTTCAGGTTTCAAATGGTAGTGTGCCATTTCCAGCTTTCAGAGCTAAAGTCAATGTCAGGTATGTTGACAATGATTGAAGTCAATTGAAAGTCAATGTCAACAATTTTAGCTCACCTTTTCAAAAAATAGGGCAGCTTATGCATAAATGGCATGCCACATTAAAATGTCCATTAAGAGATTGTTGATTATGTAATAGTTAAAGCCTTAATAAACACTACATTTAGTCCACTATAATTAGATGGTGGGCTGTTCAAATAGCTTTGGTGTCCTTAGTCGGTTGTCTGTCCTTCATTATAATGTTATCACTGAGAAGTACTGGATAAACTTTTCTCAAATTTCATATGTACATTCCTCTCAATATCTTATAGTGTTCTTCTAACTTTGAGACAGGCGAATCATTTTGAATTTTGACATTGAAAGTTGGTTATCATCTTTTCTAAAAACTTCTGAATGGATTCTTCTCAAATTTCATATTCATATTCCTCATTGGTCCCTAGAAGTGACCTTTAAGTTTTGATAGTGATCAGAAAAACCAACTGTTGAACTGTTGGCCATCTTTGATTTTGACAATAAATGCTTGTTATTGCTCTTTTTGAAGAAGTGCTGGATTTATGTAATTCCTTGGCCCGATTGGTGCCTTTTAAATTATAAGACTGCTGGGAAAGACCAAATTACAGACAGATGGCCATCTTAGATTTGGACATATAAGTTTTTATCACTATTTCTTGAGAAGCAAAAGATGAACCATTTCCAAATTTCGTATGTAGGTCCTCTTTCTTAGAGTGAATTTTCAATTTGGATTAGTAAGATGACATTGGATGTTTTTTTATCACTACCTAGGAGAAATACTAGATGGATTTTACTAAGATTTTTTGTAAGTAAGAGCAGATAAGAGAAAAGAGAAATTATCCAAATTGGTTATCTGGGCTTTGTTAATTTCTTGTTTTTTTTCCTCATTTTTCTGACTTCTTTGATTCAGTGTGTCTCAAATAGGTATGTGCGTTTGAATATCGGTCAGTATAATTGACATCAATTTTGTCATCAAGAGGTAAATTATGCTGTTCTGAGATAGCTCTTGTTCATAGTTGACAACTTCAGAAATCCTTGCATGCAAATCATGGAATGGAATTTCATCTAAATGCGACATTCTTTTGACATTTTGATGTGTTGACAGTGAAATTCTTGGAGCAATACAAGATCCTGATGCTGGAGTCATGCTAGCCAACCATGTCCGTAATGGAGCTGTACATAAAAACTGCTTCAAGGGTAATTAAATTTTCAGTCAGCATTCCACTCAACACCAGTTTTAAGGAAAGACCCACTGAAATAATTTCATATTTTAATTGTCCAAAATGTAGAAAAAAAACATTGAAATGTTTCTCTGATCAGTTACAGGTATTGAGATTTTACAACTGAAATCAATTTTATTTCACTTTATTATACCTGTTATAGAGGAGATGAAAGATTTGTCATCAACAAATTTGTTAAATCCACTTCCTAGAGCTACTAACCAGAAGATTCATGATACAGAAATGATTTAAGATTTCCGGTTGGTTGTTCTTAATTTGCCTATAGTTTCAACTTCCTTAAAAATTCACTTGATGATGTATTCACTACTTCAGATTTTAAGTTGCAATCTTGAATGATCATTCAAGGTTATGGTCAGAGGTTATTAGTCTGCTTTTCCTTGTCTGTTGGTACATTATGTTCCTTGTTGCTGTAATAACACTTTCAAAGATGATCCTACATGTACACTTCCTTTGTACAATGTATAATGTATGTTATAAATAATATTATTACTTCTGTTATGTGGTAATAGCTTTTCCCTTAAGCATCCTTTTCTCAAGAACTGTGAGGGAAAGAGTCGTGATATTTGGCTGGAATGTTCCTTTGATGAAGCCTGACAAAGTTTAAGTGGGATGGAGTGGGTGGGGTGGGGTGGGGGGGAATGACTTGATCAATCATCAAGGTCACAAAAGTAAAATCTGTCAAAACCTTCAAACGACTTCTCCTGATTGAAGCTCCTAAAATGAAGCTTGACAAAGACCTTGACCCATATTCTTATGTCATGATTGGATTTATTCTAAACCTTTGAAAGAGGAAGGAAGTAAAAGGATAAATGTGCAGTAAAAAAATTTTTTAAATAGACTCTAGTTGTCTTCTGGTATAGTTTAATGTTTCTAATCACTGTAACAGAATGGATATGCAATTACATTATTTTGTATGGCTACAACAGTTGTACTACAGTGTAGTTTCCTTTTACTTTCTATAGGCAGCGATGTGGTTGATTGGCTGATTAGGTGGTCAATTGTGAGGAAACGAGATGCAGGATCAGCAATGGTTCAAACAGTGCTCAAATTAGGCCATGTCCAGGAAGTCGATATCAATGATGGTGCTGCTGGAGCCTCTGCAAAGTTTAGTGATGATGATAAACTTTACAGATTTGTAAGTTTATTTCTACATTCTTTGATAAAAACTAGGAACAAATGTAAATAGACAATACTTGTGTTCTCAGTCTGAAGTCTTTAAGCTAACTGACCTTAGAGTTACCACTAGTTCTCTGACAGTTTCTGACTTCCTATCAACATACAAATATTCCTTTGTACTGTTTGCTTAGTGGACTTGAATGTCTTGTGTTTCAGGGGAAAAATCATGTCTTAATCATAATTGTATTTGTTAACTTCTTGCTAATTTCTGTAATTTCTAGGTACTCACATGGTGATAAACATGAAGTTTTTGAAAATAGCATTTTTACCTCACCTGGGCTAAAGGGCAAGTGAGCTATAGAGATACTGCAGCATCCATCGTCTGTGAACGTTTCCTATAGATAGCAACTAGTCATGATGGACTGGGCGGATTTAAATCAAATTTGGTCTTAAGTGTCATTGGAGGAAGGGGAACTAATTTTGCATAACAGCGGGTCGGGTCCTCCAAGGTCTGAGAGGGGGATGAGGGGTTAATATGGAAAATCTATCGAAGTGTATCTTGTTCTTTAGGAATTGTAGGATATTGTCCAAATTTGGTCCGAAGCATGCTTAGGTGAAGAAAATTAAGTTTTGTATAAGCTGTGGGTCTCGGCCCCCTAGGGACAGATGGTTGGGCCCTAATATGGAAAACTATCGATTTCTTAAACATCTATCTTGTTCTTATGCAGAAATTCCTGGATTCTACCCCAATTTGATGTCAGACATGCCTATGAAAAAGGGATCAATTTTGTATGAACAATGGGTTTCAGTCCATTGGGACCAGAGGGCAGGGGCCAGATAAAGGATACAGAGCCAATTCTTTAAAATCTTTATATTAGAACTGTTTGACATTCTTGATGAAGAGAACTTATTTATTTACAAACAGCTGCATCTAACCCTGTTTTTGAGGAGTGTAGTCTGTGACGGAGAAACAGATACAAGTGTTTTAAATTCTTTTCCCTTTGTTAAAGTCAATCAATTTCAGCAAACTAAACCAGGTGAGGGATGCAGGCCCTATAGGCCTCTTGTTGTATTTCATGACTAATCATCAGACATTGATTTTACAGACTTCATTGAATCTTGGGGGCAAGAGAAACAGTTATTATGACAGCACAGATAGCGACTCGGAATCATCAGATGAGGAGGAAGAGAATGCAAATGTTGACGTTAAGCACAGGAAGGGAAAAATTCTCAGGGAAAGATTCTTACTAAAAAGGGTATGATTATTTTAGAAAATGTTAGAAAATATCAAGAATTTCAATAAGTTTAAAAATGCATTGTGTCTCACCTATAGAATTTATGAACAATTCCATTTTATATTTTGCAGTCAGATATTTTCTTGGGGTTGCTGCTTTGGCTTGGGGTTGATGTTTTTGCTGCTAGAAGCCAATTTTTTTTGCAGTGATTTACTTTTGTCATATCTGAAATATCATTGTGGTGATTTATACCCTGAATATGTAAAGCACAGTAGACTAAATTTCAATGATTCAATAATATGCTCTAATACACCAACTTCTCAGAATCAAACACTCAGGGGAATCAGACTAACTTCAAACTACAATCAATAAGGGATTACAATTGCTCTGTAGATATATGTACTGTTCGTAAAGACTAAGGATAAAGAAGGAAACAAATATTGGCTGAAAACCATTGTGCATTATCTCTATTGTAATCCATGGCAGTTGATTATTAAGATTTTAATTCTTTTGTTATAAAAGTGAAATAAAATCCCACAAAAAAGAAATAAGTTTACAGAAACATGGTGGTCATTCAGGAAATTACAAAAAATGTGTCCATGGAAATAATAAAGAGGGCAAAAGTTATTTGTGTTCTAAAACTCCTTTCAGGAGGTATATGTTATCTTATTATCAAGATATCTTATGATCTGTCTCTTTAAAGAGGCTGAATTTTTAAGGTACAACTATATATTGAACACAGGCTGATTGACTAGTTGAAATTCAGAAAATATATTCACAACACCGAAAACTAATGTGATACAGTTAGACAGCAGATGAAGGTTTTGTTGATCTGCAGTGGAAATTCTGTCCATTGCACTTACTGTAAAAAAGATGTGCTCTAAGTAAGAAAGCAGTGTCTGCTCTGTAGATCATATATACATTTCCAAGTGAGACGCTAGTTTGCAAATTACTGATGAGTCGCATTTTGTTTCTTACAGAGACACATAGCCAAGGATTGGAGAGTGGTACGGGTTATTTTGAGGGAAAAACCTAGCACCGTTGAGTATGGTAGAGCTATCGCTCAGTCTGTGAGTTATCATTTGTCTCTGTCATTAACGTTTCACTTTATTAAAGTTTTCTATTTAGATCTGTTGTTCAAAAAGTATTATGTCCTAATTTCATCAACTTGCTATGTAATTACTTAGTGGATGCCTCAACACATCCTGCTATGAAATATTTCCCAGATGGTCGCAGGTCAGGGGAAAACTTTAAATTCCTAGAGGCTTAAGAAGTTTTGCATTTATCTTAGTTTCTCATAAAGTATAAATACTAATTTATCAAATTCAGAATGTGATTACAATGTAGTTTGTATTGCCATTTGATCATAACAAATAGATTATATGAATTTTAAATTCATTTTTTTGTGCATTTTTGGGACAAAAGCTCAGATTTTGAGATATGACTACATATCATTATGACTTGTTCTAGGACTATATATCTTTATGACTTGTTCTATTCACTTTAGATTTAGTCATATTGAATAATGTACTGGAAGATATTAGACAAAGTTTCCTCTCCCTCCTTGGAAAGAGAAATATGTTTTGGGTGAAAATGTTATAATGTAAAGAGGATTAAAAAAATTACAGTATTTTGATGTTTGTGTTTTGCTAAGCACCAATATTTAAATAACAACATATCTCTGGTGTTTATACACTATTGATATAAAATAAACATAAAACTGGAGTATTTTTTAATTTTTTAGATTTAATTGTATTTTGCAGTTATCTTGAAAATTGTTATCCAAGCAAATAGAGACATTTGAGAAACTAAATTCTGCAATTTATTTGTTGTTATTGTACCTACTGAAATATCATTTAAATGAAAGACGCTTTACCCTAATTGGTCTGGATGGCATGTGATGGGCCTCCTGTATGTTGTTAGTGACATAACCACCAGCGATTACAAGGAGACACTGACTCAGGATGATCCTGGCTGTTCATGGGCTAATAAACCCAGGAAGAAATATCATTATGATGATACCAATTGCATTGTTGTTTTTTTTTCTGTGGTTTTTTTTTTTGGGGGGGGGGGGGGGGGGGTTGGGGGATGGGGAGTGTAAAATACTGAAATTGATGTATTTTTTTCTAAGTCCATTAATTATATATACCGGTATGCCTTTATAGAAATACTTGTCTTGCATGTTAAAATTTTCTGAGATTATTATTGTGTTGTTATGGGGTTTGTTTTATCTTTTACAGATAGCTTCAATCTCATCAGCCAAGTTCATTGACCTTGAAAAATATGATGTCCAGATGTCCAGAAAAGACAGCTTTTGTAAGTTGGATAATATGTCAGTCTGTGATTATAGACATTTTGGTTAGATTGTGAATCTGCAGTATTTCATGCCATTTGTATGATAAAAGGTTAAAGTATCTGATGTGTCCATCACTACTTTTAGACATGACTAAATGAATACATTGGTTTAAAGCAGAACCCAACAGTGAAATTCTATTCATCAGGGAAAAATATTTTCTTGTACCTCTTTATATTTATAAGTTACACATAGCAAGTGTGAAACCTATCAATTCTACATAAGTGATCCTTAGTTCAGTATTTCTTTTTTGTCAGTCTTGCATCAAATATTGCACAAAAGAAAAACACATAAATAGCTCTTTTGATACAAATTTAGTTAGATACAGTCGAGCCAAACAATGATTTAAACTGCATCAAAGGAAGTGCATTACAAAGTAACATAATGTTTAGACCAATATCATCATTCTTTGTCCTCAAATGGGCCTTTTGGTGTATATGAAATAATATTTACTATTAAGATACAGCTAACTTTATCAGCATTTTCAGACTGCTCAAATTAAAAAAATAGATTTTGGTATACCATACCTTTCTATGGCCTACCATTTTAGTAGGGGTTGGGGGAGGCATAAAGTTATCTGTCTGTCACATGTTATTTCTAAGATTTTGAAAAAATCTCAACTGACTTGGTTCTTAACTAACGTTTGGTATCATATTATCAAGTTCTACACTTGATCTGATTCTGGTTTGCATATAGGAGCAGACATTTCTAGCTCACCATCAGTAGATGGTGTGTTGTTCAAATGTGGTCCTTCAACTCTCTATCAGTCCTTCAAAAACCCTTGTTATCATTATTGAATCATTCTCATATTTCACTAGCAGGTTCATTCCCCTTTGTCTCTAGTTGTGCACTCTCAATTTTGGGACTAATCAGGGGAACAATATGACGACAGATGGCCATCTTTTACAGTTTTGTTTATTATCATTTTCTTCAAAAGTACAAAAGTAGAAAAATCATTCTCAAATTTCATATATAGGTTCCCCTTGGTCATAAGTCATGCATTTCCTTCAGGCAAATAAAATGTCCAGTGGTCATATTTGATTTCGACAGATGTAGTGGTGAAGAGTACTGGGTGAATTCTCGGATTTCATATGTAGGATCTGCTTTGATCCCAGTTGTGAATAGACTGTTTGGGAAAAGAAAAGAAAAATGGCTGACTGGTGGCCATCTTTGATTTTGATCATTACAGTTGGTTATTATTATTTCTTGAGCAGTACAGGACTGATTGCTCTCAAATTTTCATATGTTTATTCCTCGTAGTACTGATTTTCCTTGTTTATTGACATTGCCATATGATGTAGTCACCTGTCAATACAACATTGAAGTTTGAGTAAATAGGAGGGAAAAGGAGAAAAGAACAAAGATCCAGCTTTGATATAAAGACGTAATGAAAAGATCATACAATGGTGGGCTTCCAAGATTCACGGGAATCTTTAATCTAGTTTTACTCTGGTAATTTGTTTGTTACCAAGTACACTTTATCGATTGTTGTATTTATGATTCATTTTATACTCCCCAAAAAATATTTTCGGAAGAGCATATAGGTGCCACTTTACCCATAAGTCCATCTTTCTGTTTGTCTGTCTTTCCGTCCTTCCTTACAAGTCAGGAGCATAACTTTGCCCATAGTTAAGCAAGGATCATGAAACTTGGTGTATGCATTGGTCATACTGACTGAGGGGATATGTAGTGTACCTTATTCAGGGTCTTCAACTCCTCAGTGAAAGAGTTACTGCCCTTTGTTAAAATTTTGTGTCATGACATAACTTTGCTTGCAATAAAACAAGGATCATGAAGCTTGGTGTCTACATTGATAATACTAAGAGAATGTGAAGTATACAAAATTTAGGACCCGTAACCTCTTATTACAGATTTATTGCCCTTTGTTAAAATTTTGTATCCAATAATGTGGTTTTTTCGGGGACCATTCATCAGTTTCACTGATACTCTTGTTTAGTTTAAAGATTAAAAAAAATCAAAATCATTACAATAATTACCTGTTCTATGGCATAACAAGATGTGGATTTTTGTTTCAGCTTCAGGTAGTGGCAGTAAGGGTAAAGTGAAGAAGAAAATTTGCCTGAAAGACAAAACTGGTAAAGGTCGATGTCACATCTTCAAAGTCAAAGATGAGGAAGAATGGTATGAGTGGAATTCCATCCTCCAGCAGCTTACTGGTCAGAAACAAGTTACACTTTAGTTCATAGGTTAAAAGTCAAAATAGATTTGTTACAAAATATTTGATTGATCTGGTTTTTCAACATGAAGCTTAGTAATTTTAGTACATTGGTACTGTGGCTGAAAGGTCTGTTTTTGGTATGCACTTTTCAGTGATTTAGTGCAATTTAACACAGTTTGATTCATAGAAACCATGTGTACATATTTAATTGATGACAATTGATTACAAATATAAATTAATGCTTTTATTGCCAAATAGATATGCTACAAAGTAGCCAATTGGCTATTATATGTTATAATGTGATTGGGCATTGGTGGTGCAAATGGATTGATGTATGTTGTCTGATGTGAAGTAGTTGTAAGTGAAGGGAAGGAGTGTCAAATTTAAATCAAACCAATTTAAATGCCAAAATTGTAAAGGAAGTAATTAATTGGTTTAGGTAAAAAAATTGACACCAAAAAAACCTTGTAATACTTGTAATTTAAACATTTTAGTAAACAAATCTCTTATGGGAAAAAATGTTATGGAGTGTTGATAAATGAAAAATCAGCAAAACAGGGAATAAGTGCATACAGTGAATTATTTTACAAATGGGACAGATTCTCATCACTCGTAAGTTCAATACTGAGTGTGATCTATGTTGATAAAATTTTTGTGAGTTTAACAACTGTAGAAAATGGAAAAATCAGCACAGATTCTAACTGAAATATGTTTTAGTCGTTAAGAATAAAGGGAATCAAATATAATATAGTGGTCTATTATGGTTACCGTAATGGTACTAATAGTTGTTTGTAAATCATTTGTACTGGTATGGACTGGTGTTATAACAGAACTTTTAAAGTAGGTAGGTACTGGTTCTGCCTATCAATGAAAGCAAGCCATTATAATATAACAATATGGCTTTAGTTCAGGGTACTCAATCGTTTATTTTTTCAGCTTAATACTATTCTAATAATCAAATACACTCGCACCATCTTATCCACTGGCAAACTTTTGATATCAAATGGATTGACCCCTATAAGTTCACTTGATATCTGCATATCGTTCGTGTTTACATGCCTTTATTGCCAATTATAGAATATCCCTCTTTAAAGAGATAGTATCACCTACACTGAGTCAGATAATACAGATAGGCAGAAGCACAACTTTCACTGCATGGCTTTTGTAACACACACTGCAGGCTTTTTCCAGGGAAGCTTTTTATGTCAGATTGGGAGTAACCATTTGAGATGCAGACACTCCCTTTCTGATTAATATCTGTGCTAGTTGGGCCTCTGTTGAAGTGAAATAAACATTGTCTGAGATGCAGAAACTCCCTTTCTGGTTAATATCTGTGCTACATGTAGTTGGACTTCTGTTGAAGTGAAATAAACATTGTCTGAGATGTAGACACTGCCTTTCTTGTTAATATATGTGCTAGTTGGACTTTTGTTTAAGTGAAATAAACATTGTCTGAGAGGTAGACACTGCCTTTCTGGTTAATATCTGTGCTAGTTGGGCCTCTGTTGAAGTGAAATAAACATTGTCTGAGATGCAGAAACTCCCTTTCTGGTTAATATCTGTGCTAGTTGGGCCTCTGTTGAAGTGAAATAAACATTGTCTGAGATGTAGACACTCCCTTTCTGGTTAATATCTGTGCTAGTTGGGCCTCTGTTGAAGTGAAATAAACATTGCCTGAGATGCAGACACTCCCTTTCTGGTTAATATCTGTGCTAGTTGGGCCTCTGTTGAAGTGAAATAAACATTGTCTGAGATGCAGACACTCCCTTTCTGGTTAATATCTGTGCTAGTTGGGCCTCTGTTGAAGTGAAATAAACATTGTCTGAGATGCAGACACTCCCTTTCTGGTTAATATCTGTGCTAGTTGGGCCTCTGTTGAAGTGAAATAAACATTGTCTGAGATGCAGAAACTCCCTTTCTGGTTAATATCTGTGCTAGTTGGGCCTCTGTTTAAGTGAAGTAAGAGAAGCTCATTATTTATGTTGATTATAACTGAGGAGCAGTTATTATTCAATATTGTTCCATTTATAGATAATTGTATAAAGGTAATTTTGTTTTAATAGTTATATTCAAACCAGTGAAACTAGGTCTTGTAGCAGGTATTAAATGTATGAAAAATAGTTAAAATTTGTTACAGGAGGTCATTGTTATATTTTCTTGTAGTGTGTATTACACAGACAATAGACTCCTATAAATGAAGTCAGTATTCAGGGATGTTGTTAATTTATTTTGAGTGCAATAATGTAGAACTGAAAATGATCATGAAGATAGGTAAAAACATGGACTTTTTGTGATGGATGTGTGTTCATTTGTTAAACTTTAGATTCAAAAAATTTAAAAGACATAATACATTTAACAAAAGTAAATATTTCTTCATCCTGCGAAAGAAAATGACTAATATTTTAAATATTAATACGATAATATGGATTCTGTTAAGTAAATTTTGTGTTTTGAGGTAACATTCTGTGTAGTCCCTCCATTATCATTCTGTCAGTATTGACATCTCTGGTGTACTAAAGCTTGCCACTAATACTAAGACTTCCTGATATACATTATTATGTCATGCATAATAACATTTTATGTGAAACAATGGAATGGTGCCATATTTAGATAGTGGTACAAATTATGATTTCTTATGGTTTGTATACCCGGTAGTTGAAACATTTCCACAAAAACCATGTTTTTAGTTGAGTTGTCTCCCTTCCACCAACAAACATTATTTTCAGATGCATCTAAAAATCCTCCTTGAATTGACTTTGTATGCATATAAAAACCCAAAACTTGTTCAAATTTCTTCTTAAAAAAGTTTGAAATGTGTGGTGAATGGAGTAGATTAAAGTTGATGTACATACTTACCTTAATCATCTTGTATCTGGTTTACTCTAGAGGATATTAATCTTTTCATGTCATCAATCAAATTAAGATATAGTAACTTGGACTTTGTTTTCCATTGTCAGTTGTGATCACAAGGCAGCATCTACACAACTCCCTATGCACTGTTGTTTCCATTTACTAGCTTTTTTACCACATTTCTATCATTTGTATTAATTGGTCATCTATCACAACTACCATCAAACTTAGATTTCTCCTTTGTCATATATGGCTTCCTTTTGTGCACTGAAATTTTCAACACTTGATTTAACCAATATTTGGGAATGGGGAGAAGTAAGATTTTCTCTTCTCAAATAGATCTCAATTCAACCATCTTGGTTTTGTTTCTTTTTAATTCCTGAAAAAATCATCAGGAATACATCACTTATCTGGTAGTCATTTTCCTAAACATTACTAACCTGTACTAGGAGTAGTCCTGATATAAAGAGAGGGTACAGCCAGTGAAATCACGTACAATGTTCTTACATCTGATAGAGTTGGTATTCATAATTCTCCAACAGTGTAGATTTTGTGAATCTAACTCTCCTTTTTCCAAAGTGATCATATACTTTTTTCAAGTCTCAGAAGGTTTCAGTAATGTTAAAGAATGTGGAAAACAGGTTTAGAAGGATACACACTAATTCCTGAAATTATGAATTAATGATCTCCAGAAGTGGAATATCATCTCAACTAGGAATTAAGAATCCCTTAAGTATTTAGCTCTTACAAGATAAATTGCCTCTTAAATCAATAATTCATTAATTACCACTGTGCAATCATAGTCATCCTATGTTTATCCTGGGGTTGGGAAGATGTACTATTTATAGAAAATTAAAAAGAAAAATCCGTAAGTTTTTAAAATTCTACAAAACAGCAATAGATATCGGTGTGGTTTATTTCCAGGCATGGGATTAAGGCTAGAAATATATGATACTGACAAACTCTGTTGTTGTCATACAAAAGTACACATTAAACTTTATACCTTACCCAATAAGGTTGATTCACTCTTGAAACCTTGTATACATGTATTGTGTGTAGGAATGTTTTCTTTATTCCATTTTATAAGACTTTCTTTATTGTTTCATTTGTCACATCCCGTCCTGTTTCAAATTATTGTCTTATCTTCAGAATTTCCAACAAATTTGGTTCATATTTACCCCAAAGTATTCTACACCTGATCAAGTTCTTGTTTGTAAAGGAGTAGGAGCATTTATATTTTATAAACATTTCTAGTTACCGGTATTGGTTTGTCGATCATTCATCAAGCATCACTTTGTATACACTTTGCCACAAATCATGTAGATTTGTCCACAAGACGAGATTTTCCATCAAGTAAATTTGAGGGCAAACTTCCTGTCATTAATAAATTTGATAAAATCAGTAACTTTTATTTATAAGTGGATTGATAAGAATTGTTGATCTGAAAATACACCATATTCTCACAGTTAGACCTGATATCTAATAATACCTGTATACAGGAAGTCACTATTTCTGTTAAAAGTTTGGAGGATCTCGGTTTGAATCCTCACAGTCCAACTGATGCTGTATTTTGTTTTCTCCATTGATATCATGTACCTAGTATTTAAATATTGTGAGTATAACACTGTAATATTATGATGATAACTCACCTTTCATATACTAACTCTAGTCTCGATATATATAAAGTGTATTTTGGTATCCATGGTAGAATGTGAGTATTGTAAAAGACGGACAATTTTTTTATGATGATCTTCCTTACACTGTGCATATATTATAAAAAATACTTTCCATATTATATGATGGAATTCCATGTTTTAAAAAACCCACAACAGCCATGCCCATACTGTCAGTATGATATTTCTCCTCACAACAACCATGCCCATACTGTCAGTATGATATTTCTCCTCACAACAACCATGCCCATACTGTCAGTGTGATATTTCTCCTTACAACAACCATGCCCATACTGTCAGTGTGATATTTCTCCTCACAACAGCCATGCCCATACTGTCAGTATGATATTTCTCCTCACAACAACCATGCCCATACTGTCAGTATGATATTTCTCCTCACAACAACCATGCCCATACTGTCAGTGTGATATTTCTCCTTACAACAACCATGCCCATACTGTCAGTGTGATATTTCTCCTCACAACAGCCATGCCCATA